TCAGAAAAACATGCTGTAAAACATAATATCACAAATTATAACTGATTTATGACGCTAATCTTTCTGCTGGATAAGATGTGAAACATATTCTCAAATTATCATAGATAGATAGATAGATAGATAGATAGATAGATAGATAGATAGATAGATAGATAGATAGATAGATATTTATCCCCTAGGGGAAATTCCTGTGTCCATTAGCTCATAGTTGATAATAATAATAATAATAATAATAACAGTTAATAATAAATAAACAATAATAATTAGATTAGTCTACATCCTTTGGCTGAGGTGTTGTATTGCCTGATGGCAGTGGGAATAAAGGATCTCCTGAACCTCTCTGTTCTGCAGCCGGTGAGATTAGACGTTTGCTGCACCTTGTCCTGCTTACTGTCCAAGATGGCCTCCATTTTACATTGCATGCATCTCTTCACAACAGTCCTGAGTGAGTCCAGACTCCTGCCAAGCACAGACCCAGCCTTTTTTACCAGCTTGTCCAGTCTCTTTGTGTTCATGTCGGACATGCTGCTGCCCCAGCAGACAGCAGCATAAAAAAGTACACTGGCCACCACTGACTAATAAAACATGCACAGCATTTCACTGCAGACGTCACAGGACCTGAGCTTCCTGAGGAAAAAGAGCTGGCTCTGCCCCTTCTGGTAGATGGCATCCGTGTTCAGCGACCAGTCCAGTTTACTGTCCAGGTGCATATCTAGGTATTTATAAGTGTGCACCAACTCAATGTCCTTCCCTCGAATGTTGACTGGCTGAAGGGTGGGCCCAGACCTCCGGAAGTTGATGACCATCTCCTTGGTCTTGGAGGTGTTAAGAAGGGGGGGTTGGATGGTGTGAAAAATCAAAGAACATAATCCTCATGTAACTACCTGGCTCATACAAGTAAGAATGGGCCCAGTGGAGCATGTAAAGGACAGCTCCAGCTCATCCACTCCAATATGTCCTTTGTAGGCGAACTGTAGAGGGTCTAGTGCATGTTCAACCTGTGGCCTCAGAAGGTGGAGAAGCAGCCGCTCCACGGTCTTCATGATGTGTGATGTGAGGGCCACCAGTCTGTAGTCATTTAGCTCAGCCAGTCGCCCTACTTTAGGTACCGGTTCAAGACATGATGTTTTCCACAGGACCGGGACTCTCCCTGTTTGTAGACTTTAGTTGAATATCCTCTGGAGAGGCTCAGCCAGCTGGGCAGCACAGTCCTTTAACAGCCTCGGACACACACCATCCGGGCCTGTTGCCTTACACAGATTCACGTCTTACAAATGTTGTTTTATGCTGTTTGACTTATTATCCATAGTCTGTACTGTATTGCAGATGTTTTGACCACATAAAAGATGTTGGTGTTTGCTTGACTTTTTATTATGAAACTTATTTGTGAACCATGCTGATGTGATATGATCAGGTGTTGACTATAAACCACATAAACACAAAAATTAATGTGGATACTTGACACAAACTGCTGCCCCTGGGCATCCTGCAATGTAAGACACCACACAAACCTGTATCCCTTAAAAATGTAGCTAGGTAGCCTCAGTGGCCCGCCTGGTGGAGTGTGTGCCACATGGGCTTGGTCCCGGCTGCGGCGGCCATGGTTTCAGGTCCAGCCCTTGGCGCTTTGCTTCGTGTCATCCCCTCTCTCTCCCTGACTTTCCTGTCTCTCTCTCACTTCACTGCAAAAAAATGCCCCAAAAAAATGTAGCTAGTGAATGTACTAATCTGACCACCATCAACAACAGACTCAGGGTCAATATCCTGCAATGACAAGTGCCAACTCACTGCTGAAGTGCCTTTTATCCAGAACACAGTATTCCTACAATCCTCTGTGTGGCAGTTTTGTAGCCAAGCCTAACCTTTGACCTCCCTGCTGAGGAGGAAATCGCAAACAGAGCCAACACATTATTATGCATACATGGAATAATATGGATGAACCTTGCAAAACATAGTTTATTCATTCAACATAGTCTACAAAATGTTATACAGCTCACTCTCTTCAGATTCACCTGGTGTACCTGTGTTAAGTATAATTTCTTCTTGTTTCCACCTGGTTAACCTGCTTCAACTACAAAAAGGATATGTATCAGACCTACTTTTGCACAGCCAGACAATTGCAACTGAATAGTATATCAATCCTACTATTGATACATAATACTATACTTTCATAAACTGTAAATATAATTCAACAAAACCTCTACAGTAGTTCCTTTGTCTTCCAAGATTAACAAATAAGTATACTTAAACTTCCCTTTAAACTTCCCACTTGGCCTTGAATATCACACCCCTCTTTTTCTTGCATGTTGTTTTGCCAAGCTGTCTGCTATATTAGGATGTTGACATCTGTCTCAGGATGTAGAACACATATACACATGTACTAATGAGCTTTGCAGATTCATATCAGTATGTACCGGTATTTCCAGTGGATGGGTTGCTTAACCTGTATTGTTTCTGTGAGTATGTGCACATCCCAGAGTTCAGAGGGCATGGCATAAATGGTGAATGCACTAGCACACATCCTAGTTATCTATGCAAACACATAACTTTCTTGCTCTGCATCTCTCACTGCTACAAGCACAAATTGTCTGAAAGCATGTGTTTTGGGGCGCTTACCAAATTAATGCCAGGGCCTGTAGGACCCTTGACCTTCCTTTGTTTGGCTTTGGGCAGGATGTGTGTATATGTGTGTGTACATCTTTCTCTTTTCATAAAACAAACATATTCACACAGTCTATACTATAGATAATCTCTACTACTAACAATGATAAAGAATCAGGGAGATCTCAACAGAAAAGAAGAAGAAAAGAGATTTCTTTGCATTGCAATAATGTCATTCACTTCTACCTTCCCATGAGCTCATCAGTGATTACATGCAGAGAAATAAGGAGATGGGGTGAGCGATACAAATATAGGGAAGAGGAGATGAAATGGAAGAAAAGACAAAGACAGCTAGGAATTGCCTCAAGGTTAGGCCTGGGCGATAAAACGATAGTGATATGTGCCAGAAACAAGACACTTCATCAATAGCAATATGAAAATTGTTTGATAGAGAATCCACTTGCTCCTTCCCTGACTTGTGAACACGGCCTACCATATCCCTTGATAATGGAGCGTCCTAGGAGTGACAAACAGCAGATAATTTAACAGGTGTGTGTGTGTTTAACATCTGCTACATCTCAAGAAACAACCCACAAGCAGTCTGTGATGGAGAGGTACTCAGCAACAGCACTGTATGACAAAATATCCAAACGGTACAAGGATATAACACACACAGTAGCCTACTACTTTTCTCCTGGTCTTTATTAGAAATAGATAATTCGAAATCATCAATAATTATCAATATTGAGTGATATGAAAATTCTTATCGTAATAATAATTTTGGTCATAATGCCCAACCCTACTCAAGGTTAGAGACCCAGATTTGGGATGTAAGGTATGAAAACACAAATCAGCTAAAAAGTTAAAAAGTCCAGCTTCTTCATTGAACCTCTGTAGTTGCCAATGATAGAAAGCTACATTTATATTTAGCAGCTTTATGTGAAGGTATGAAACTGCGTGCTTGCTAACGGGCAAACTTTCCCTGGATAGACGGTAAGAAATTATCCCAGCACAAATACACTGAGTCAGAAAAATTGTTCATGATAAGAACAATGTGATTCAGTATAGAACTAATTGCCAACAAATTCAATTACTATTAATGAAATGTTCAGATGAATAAAAACTAGTCTTGCATTCCATAAAAATGGATTTACTCTCTTTGCCCTGGGCTGCAGTGCTTTGGTGGGAGTGGCCTTTATCCACCAGGCATAAAGGGATACATAATTGATGGCACAGCAGATAAAATTTCCAATAATCTTTGGAGAAAGCAGTAATTGTTTTGATAAATTGCCTTCAGTGAAAAATATGAACTTTAGTTATTCAGAGTCATTGGGAAAAAAAGTATTTAAAAAATTAAAATTATTTAATTAATTCTCATTATAATCTAATTACAATGAAAATGATCTTAAAAATAATAATGCCATTTACCACAAATTGAGTTAAAATGAAGAATAAGAAAAAGCAGTCAGACACACACTCATGTATACATAAATATGTCTGCATGACCACACACCCACACACAGAGGATTTGGTTGTTCTGGAGGACTTCAATGTTTCTAAAGAGCTTGAGGGTGCTTGCTCTCCCAAATTTGAAGTCTGTTATCACACAAACATACAAAAACATGTGAGTAAAAATTGTCATCTCATTATAAAAATGAAGTGAGCCAAGGAATTTGTATTGGATTTGGAATTTCAGAATAAAAGCACGTACATGATTTAAAATGTAATTTTCAAATCAACTGGCAACATGATGAAAATTTCTCTACTCAGTCTCCTTTAAACTTTAACTGGTTGATTATTGACTATTAATTAGGTTAATTATTGCATATAAGTTACAGATACAGACCTATTGAGATATTTATGATGTAATGTAATGTTGTCAGGGAGGCTAGTGGCCAGCATTCATTTATAACACAGTTTAACACGATATGGCCTACATTAAAGGTATTAAAAAGAGGTCAGACCAGGTACTTTCCCAAGACCTGGAAATTGATAAGTAAGCCACTGCAGCTAGCACATGCTGAATTATTTCAATACCTATTAAATCTGAGACTCCTTATCTGAACTTGTTGCACTGAGTGACATGAAGGTGATGATGAAGGCTGTCTTACCTGATGTGTTTCAGTTTGGTAGCAATACACAAAAGATTTAGTGCCCTTGCGCAAGACAACTTATTATTGGTTCCATAACTTCTAAATCAATTATATGACCAAACAAACTATGATAAGCAACGGCTGCCAACTACTGAGCTAAAAACTTGACATTGTGTTCTGAAAATGGCCAATGGCTCTTGTGGTAAACATTTGTGGTGTGAATGGTGTCAAAGCTGAATACTGAAAGTATTAGCTGGGCCTACTTGTGTGAAGTTACTCCAAGTAGTCCTGACATGTGCTTCATACCCTGTTGTTCCTGTCCGTTTCCTTGACCTCCTCCTCCTTGACTCCATGTCGTATCATTATCCGGACGATAGCCGCGTTGTTTGTGCAGCACGCCTGGAAAAATGATAGCGGCTCCGGGCTTTCCGGAGACGGGGTGCGCTCCGAGTCCGCGAACACATCATCTGGCGGGTAAAAGGAGTCGTCTGACGCTATGCTCCGACAGTCTTCCAAGTCCTCAAAGTCAACTTCTTCGAATTCATCATCGTCCTCCTCATCTCTATCGTCGTCATCGTCCTCTTCGCATGAACCCAGGTAGTCCTCGTCGTCAGAGTTGGACAGCGGCTCCTCGGCTATGGTCGGATGGACTTGGGAGATGTTGCCCGCGACTTTTTGCTGCTGTTGAAGCTGTTTGACCCGGACCGACGGGGCGCCTCCTCCATCCCTGTCGTCCGTAATCAGCACCATCTAACCCCCGAGCCTAGGGCACCGTTCACGGGGTAGAGTGCAGTCTGGCACGCGGGGTGCGGGCATGTGACTGGCTGTCTCTCCAAGACAAGACGCTCGTGCAAAAAAGTCAGTCACATCGTCTGCGCGAGCATAAATAAACAAACTCCTTAATTTGTGGTGTCGTAGGCCTATATACTAGTTGAGCTTGTTGCGCGTGCAGTTACCAGTCGTCATCTTAGAGTTGCTGACATTATTCCCATCTGAGCTCTGAACGTCCCACAAAGTGAGATCTCCACGCGCGCTGTCAAAACGAAACCTCGTTGAGTTGAGTTTTCCAGTAAGGGGGCTTATGAATGGAAATACGATTCAGGCTTTTCAAAAGAGGAGTTACAGCACAAAGTACACGACCGTCCAATGTAGGGTGGAGAGAGACAGCAGCCTGTTAACCCATAGTCACCAAATCCGATTATTTGTGACTGCGACCTCTCTCTCTCTCTCTCTCTCTCTCTCTCTCTCTCTCTCTCTCTCTCTCTCTCTCTCTCTCTCTCTCTCTCTCTCTCTCTCTCTCTCTCTCTCTCTGTGTCTACTGATAAGGGATTATTTCTACTCTGTCTACTGGACGCAACCCTATAGTTAAACATTAATATTCCTAGAATATTAATATAGGGACTTAGACTATGTTTGTGGTTTTATGTGTATATTTATTGGTATGACAACATGATCCTTTTTTTCCTATTATGCAAATACCAGTGTCTGATACTGGTAAAATTCTACAAAAGGCCTACAACTTCCTTATGTAGATTGATATTAGCATAACAGAAACTGCTACACCCCCCTTGCTCCTTTCAAGTTGCTCTTAGACACACTAAAGCCATTTGTCTCATGGCTCCATTAAATTGAGTCCAAATCAAAAATAAGAAAATAAATAAGAATATAAAATGCAATGCAAAAATAAGAAAATGCAATCAGACATACTCACATACACCTAAATATGTCTGCATGATCAGGCACAGAGGATTGTGTGTTCTGCTAACCTTGAGACACTTCAATGTTTTTAAAGAGCTTGAGGGGGTTGCTTGCTCTCCCAAATCTGAGGTTTGTTAACACATAAACATACAAAGTATGTCATATACAGCATATCTATATATATATGTTGCTCATAAAGTTGGAATAAAATATTTTTTACCTCTTTCCATGAAATGATTGTGACAATGTGATTTATTTCATTTCACCTGGGTAATTGGGAAACATAATGTAATCATTGCACCTGGTCAAAAGTGATTACTGATGCATTTAAATAGGATTAAACAGAGGATTGTGTCTGAAAACAAAACTATTCCAACTTTATGGGCAACAGTGTATATATATATGTATGTATATATATATAGAGAGAGAGAATATATATATATATATATATATATATATATATATTCTCTGTATCATGCTCTCTCTCTACAATTATACAATATTGAAAACAAAATAAAAACCATGTTCTCCTTTCTTTTTAGACATACGTATAAAGTTATGGCAAATCTGACTTATGAAGACTTTCATAGCAAAAATCAGCATTTACAGCCTATCATTATGTCATTTGATTTGAATATCAAATAAGGCATCACTTTATTGTAAACTGATTTGGACACACTAGGTTTAAATTAAATGATCACAATCATTTAAATGATTAAGTGTGGTACATGGGTTATATTTCCCATGATAATATAGTATGATTCTGAAATCATTTATTTTACACACGGCCTCAGCAAATTCTGTTCTGTCATGACTCTCTCTCTCTCTCTCTCTCTCTCTCTCTCTCTCTCTCTCTCTCTCTCTCTTTCTCTGTTTTTTGGCCACTGGCCAAGTCAGATGTAGGTTGGCCTTCATTACTTGGTGCTGAAGTATGAAGCAAGTTGGGCTTGTGTGTGTGTGTGTGTGTGTGTGTGTGTGTGTGTGTGTGTGTGTGTGTGCATGTTTTTTCTTCTCTTCTATTATATTTTGTTACCAAGGATATCTATTACCTTATCTTCTTGTTTTCACTATCCACATAATATACTGTATGTAATCAAAAACAGGGTAAAGTGAGAAGAAATGATCATACTGGATTATTTTATTATGGCCTATGCTACTTTATGTATCTATCTAAATAGAGAATGTTTTGCGTTGAGTTTTGTGTAGTCTGTGGTGCTCCAATATTTCGTTACCTATAGGTCACAACCATATTTACAGACATGAAATCTTGTCTCTCAGTAATTAATAACTTGAGTTTGCTGACATCACCTGCTGTGGAAAAACGAGTGCATAACAGTCCCACTGTGTACCCATTATTATACCTTCATCTACCCCCAGCTGAGTGCTCTACTCTCCTGTGGCTCCTCCATCTCTATGATATCACCCTGCTGCTGTGTGGGTGACAGTCAGTGTTAGCCACCTTAGAGATATACTTATCTGTGAAAAGTTTCACTGTCTGGTCAAGCCACAAACACAGTCACAAAAGAAATGGATGATAAATTAGAATTCCTCATCTCCAGTATTAGAATGAGTTAAAAGATATCTAATGAAGTAAGAATTCAGGTTGTAAGTAATCATCTTTTTTTAGATGTAAACACCTCATGCATCTGGCTTCAATTCACTGTTTCATTAATTTAACCCATGCACTTATGTATAGCCCCCATGTGTGTAGATTTTGAGTCACTGTAATGCATGGTGGGCCCTAAAAGCTTTATAACATTGAAATTACAAAAAGAATATGTGCTCATGCAACAAAAATGTCAAGGGAAATATTGGGTCCAGAAAGATCCAGGGGCTCCAGTTATAGAGCCAAAGATACACACACACACACACACACACACGCACACACATATATATATATATAACTGAACCATCATTATTAAAGTAGGAAATGTTTCACAGGTTTTACAAACATATGGTATGAAATTTTCTCATATAATCGACACTGTGGTTTTTATAATGCCCCTTACAATATGCAGTCCAAACCATTGCCCTTGATCTATGACACTAATGTAAAGTAAAGTTATGTTGTGTTCCAGTTTGTGTTCCAGTTTCCACCAGCAGTTCCAGTGTTGCTCAGTGAAATGTTCAGTAGGATAAAGCTGCCACAAAGGCAACAATTAGCTGGTTGTAAAAAGGAAATTGCCTTATATTGCCTGGCAATAAACTGGTGTTTTGGAAGATTAAAGTGAATAACCAGAGTCAATTAAATTGCAGAAATTCAAAATTGTAGAAAACCCAGTATTACAAATTCTAACACAAAACACTGTGAGCACCCTGGAAAGCAATTAACAGTAAAGAAAAAAAATGAATATGCCATTATACTTGCCTTTATACTCAAAAATACTGCCTCATCCATTTTTGTTTTGTTTCGTGTTGTATGATGTGTAGACAGCTGTATTATAAAGTAAAATTAACACTGTAAGTTGTGTTAGTGGGCCCCATTTAGCCCTGACAGAATGGAAGGAAATTATTAATACATAGTGAAAAGACTGGCAGTTGATTTAGGATGAGAACTCTTCAGTTCCAAGATGTCTCACAAGTTCACTTTAGGTCTGAGGCCAGGTACAGCAACACAGCTGGTGGGAAATTTGTAGTTCATTCAAGGACTCCTTAGGAGGGCAGATGCCTGCTCATATAAAGACTTGATCCCCTCCTCATGTGTCCAAAGTAAAATATCACCACAATGCACATGCTGCTGCATTGTAATATACTGTCCTGTATATCAGTAATAATGTATGCATATTCTGTGGTGTGCATATGTGGTCATGTGAGACTAAAGCACACTGTAAATAGCACATTAGCAACACCATCACTTGCAGAGCCAATTGCATTAGCTTAACCTGGGCTCAGAAGAAAAATCTAAATCCCCGGACAGATAATCATGAGCTGATTGGAGCCCTTCTGTGAATGTGTGTGATGTAAATGGCAAGATTTATTCTGGGTCCCCAAACCATTACATATTCAAGCCTCTTTCAAACAACTATACTTAGCAAGAGTACAGCACTCCAAAATTGTTATATATTAAATACTTTTAACCAAAACCTAAGAGCAGTTTTGAGGCAGATTCAATGGGCCAACAAAAACAGGACTATGTAATTTATATGATTGCTGTTGTCTTTCCTTCCTCTTTGTTACATGCTTGTTTTCATTTGAGTTGATATTATTAGTCAGTCAAGCTTTGGTTGCTCCTATCATGAAGGAAAAAGTGCTCTTTGTGGTAACAGTATCACAGCTGCAATCGGCTCTATTAATTTTTCTAAGCATGCTACAAGAGGAAGGCTCCATGTAATATTATCTTTCTCTGCATCTTGACCAGTGTTCAACCTTAACCCTGCACACTACACATGCAGTCACAACAGTAATCCTGGCATGCTGCATGAGCAAAGCATTTCTGTACCTTAACTCTATGTTTGTAGCCCTTATAAACAGTCATAAGCAGAATGATCATTGGGTTGGCAAGCCAGGGCAAGCAAAAATGTTTGTTGGACATAATAGTACCTTATCCTAATAGCCACGTTAAGTAGCCTGTGCTCTACTATTGAGAAGCTCTCTTGCACACATTACTTGTACATGGAAACACTGTGGCACAGACTCTCTGACCAGTGTCACCAAAAGAGTTTTAAATACTGTATGTCTTTGACCATAAGCATGAGTTTTTTTTAATTAAGAAATTACTGGATTGTGAAAGCCCAACCCTCAAACACCTCTCTAATATGAGCTTTCTCAATAGATCCTATATATCCCTGCATCCCACATGTACCTCATGAGCATAACATGGCCTTGCTGCTGGTAGGTTTAGACAGGCTCCTGTATTCCTTCCCTCATTCAGTCGTTCATTTATTCCCCCCAAATCCACAAACGTCCATAACACTCCAACACACCACGGTTTCTTCTGTGGCATACCTGGAGCAGGAGTGCTGTACAAAGATCGTCTATGAGTCTCTTCTTGACACAAGCACTTAACTGTTAGGTTTGTGTATGTGTGTGATGATGAATTGAATGTGTGACCAAAATCAAGCATTTATGTCTGTTTTAAGGATTTTGCTTGCTTCTAAGACTATTTTCCTGGAAATGTTGTTTTTCTCCTCTTCATAGCAAAGGCCTAATGTACTGATCATTAATAGCTTGATTGAAAAGTCCACATTATTGCTTAATCAGTTAATGAAGCCTAGATAGACAAAAGGACAGGAGTTAAGGACAACACTTGAATGCAGTGACAGACAAAGCTTTTGCAGCTAGCTGAATATGAGAAATTCAATACTCCACAATTGTTAATTAACTAATTTTAATTAGCCTGCAATGGCCCTCAATTAAGTTATTTTTGTGATGTTCATGTGTGTAAAATCAATGCCCGGACAAATCAACTTCATTCACTGTTACCATATTCCACAAATGCTATTAAAACACAGACAAAATCAGTAATAATATTAAATAGAGACACAAAAAACATTACATAGAATTTAACAATCTATTTGTTTAAGAAAACAAGGTCCTTTTCCGACGAATGAGACAAAACAATTAGATGTGACAGCAGTAACACTACATGATAAAAGTCCAAGTCATTTTGCAGAAGAACTAAAGTCTGTCCTCTTTCGGACAAGCACACACATAGCCTCACTGTAAAAGTGAGGCTGAGTGGTGAACCCACTGAGGAGGTGTCTTAAAATGCTGCTCTTCCAATGGCTGCAGGATAGTGGCTCAAAGAAACACCAGAATGTGTTGAAATCAGTGGAAAACTCTGCCAACTTCGCTTGAAATACAAAGTAATTAAATTTTTTTTCACAAGGAGTCTGAGTAATTAATTTTACATCTGCTCATGTGTGTCACAGGGAGATTATGAGATCATTGTTCCATTAAGAAGATAATGAGGCTTAAGAGAAAAGTGCTGCGGAGGTGATTGCTTGATTGACAAGTGCCTAACACAGGCAGCTATAGTGGTTTTTCCTTGCTTATCGCACCTCATCTTTAAGATGGTGGTGAATGTGAGAAGAATTCTTGGTTTAAAATGTCTCTTGAGGAAAGTATCGGTGGTGTCAATGGCATTAAATCCATGTCTCTAGCACATTAGTACATCAGATACAGTGTAGTAACAGGCATTTTCTCTTTAGATTTATTTATCTCTTGATGTTGCTCTGGCAAAGTTTGATGAATCAGTAGGAGTTGAGTCCACATCGTCCCAATGGATGAAGTCCAGAGGTTTAATCAATCCATGCTGAAACTCTCTGTAACATATAGTATGCTGTTAGAGATCTATGACATTTTTTACAGTGCAATCTGTAAGCACCAACTGAAAAACTAATGCAAAATTTCCCACATCACACTGTTAACATGACAAAATCATTATAGTTAATAAGGTTACTATCAGGTAACTAATACAAACTAATAGATACTGATACAAACAGCCAAGTCTACCAATGAATTCTAGATGAATTAAATCATGTAAGAAAAAATGTTTCAACAATTTCCTAAGAAATGCTGTCAGCAAAATAAAGTGCAACTATAGTGAGAACAGTAACAGTACCGCTGACTGATAAAATCCATGTTCTGCAACTTCACAATACATCATGAATCATGTTTTCCTTTATCCTTATCCTGAAATCTATTACATAGCAGCTACAAAGAGGAATACTAAAAGGGAGCCTTTGTGTCCACTCTCTCCTCTCCTGTCTCTTTCGCACTGTTCTGCTACATTCACCGTGTCCCTGGAGATGTGATGTTATGAGCAAAGCTTGAAGAAACAGTTCAGGTTGTGCAACAGGGTCCCACCCTGGAAATGAGATTCCTAAACCACTAACATCTTTGCAATGGCATCATGTTTCTTTGGAGTTTCAACATCCTACAACAATGGAGCATACAGCTGTACAGTAAAACCATTGTACTAATGCATGCAGCTAAAAATAAAAGTTAGTTACATAAACATTTGAGGATAGGCTTACAAATGCTTTGTGAATTATCAGAACAGTAATAAAATAAAATAAATACAGGAATATTTCTCTGTGTTTCAACCTTATCTCTTTGCCTTTAATATCAGGTGTAGCCTACTGATCAATGCATGATAACAAGGTCCATGATTGTCTAGGTAAATTATACATGAATAGAAAATAGGATTTACTTCACTAGAACTGTATACCAGGACAGGTGTGACCTGACAGGACAATAACAGAAATCAAGTAGTTTGGTTTGGCACAACACAGTTTGTAGATATTGATTTTGAATTTTAAATCTATGCTTGAAGCAAGAAACACGTGGCCAGGTGGAGAAGGATGTTCTGAAAAAGCCAAAACAACATTGTACAAGTGAGGATCAAAAGTATTTGTTCTTTTTTTTCTGTTTTACTACATTTGTTTGTTTTGCTTCTTTTGCCAACTGTCTATAAGTCAGTCAACAAGTAAAACTGTGTTCAAAACACAAGTAAAATTAAATTGATTCCTTAATTTCTGTGATATAATGTTACAATGTCAGATGTTCATGTTTATATTAATCATGGCCAAAGTTTCAAATAATCAGGTAAACCCATATAAAAGTAATCCCTGTGAGACAAAAGCTCAGGTGTCAGACTGCTCTGAACACTAAGTTTCCAATGGGTTTTTCTTCTTTGGTAGAACAGATTTCTTTATATGGTCATTCTGAGCTTATCAATGAGCGTAATAGGTCCCTTTATACAAAATCCCCACCAAAACTCCTAATATTGAGTCAGGTTTGTATTCACAGCAGTAAGCAGTGTTCAGAGTTGAAAACTCAATCACAACAGTGACTTGGCTACTGGAAAGCACCAGCTCAGGAGCAGGGACTTTTTGGAGGAGAAGAAACCATAGCCCTTGAGCCAAAACTGGAAGTTCCTGATTCCTAAAAAAACGTTTCTGGAAAAGCTACTGCGGTCAAAAAAGGGCAAAAAGGGTCTAAATCTCTAATTCTCTAAAAGTCTTAAAAGTCTCTAATTTTGTTTGGCAAATTAATTTTATTGTGTTTAAAACTTCTTGGAAAATCAGATGAGTGCAGTTTAAAATTCAAAGTTTCCATTTAACTTTGTAAGTAAGGTTGGGCCATCCACATCTTCATGTATGAACTCTGAATGATAGCTTATGGTTATATGGTGTTATTTCATAAACAAATTACATTGTTAGTAAATTATGTGTGCGTGTGTGTGTGTGTGTGTGTGTGTGTGTGTGTGTGTGTGTGTGTGTGTGTGTGTGTGTGTGTGTGTGTGGTATCCTCCACCCCTAAAACTTACAGCCAAATGTGAATTCCTACTGATCCTGTTTCCTGTCCTGCCTGATGGGATACTCAAAAAATAACATAGATTACAAGTCTGTGTGTGTGTGTGTGTGTGTGTGTGTGTGTGTGTGTCAGGGTAAACATCATATTGTCCCCCTGTGACCTACCACAGATTATGTTCTCACACTGACACATGCAATAGTGTCCTTTTAAAAACGTGTAAATGTAAAAATTCTGAGTTCAAGTTCAGATAGACTGTGAGACTGACTATGTATAGTGCACGTGTGTGTTTGTGCCTCTGAGATTTTCTCATCCTGACTATTGTAATAAACCTGTCTAAGTGTGCATTTGTACTTACCCATTTACAATATTGCATGGGGGAGTAAACAAAACACAGAAGGTTTTAGGCTTTTAACGTCAGCTGAAAATCATGCTTTTATGCCCCAAGAGCTTATGTCTTTACCTCTCCTCTTTTTCATCTGCTGGGTGAAATGAATACACTTAGGCCAAATGCAGTGACGTTGCAAGCTGATAGCTTGTGTGTACGATAAGTGAACTTTGGCTAACCCAGACATAAGGGAACAGGCAATAAAAATCATATGTACACTCCACCTGACAGTCTGTGTAAGGCAGCTTTGTGCCTCTCTGGCTGCTCATTAAAAGATTCTAACCTTACTCAATGTAGCAGCCTCATTCAGCTGGACAGTGATGAATAATAACCCACTGTGCCTGATGCTAACAATTAATGGAACCAATTTCTAGGTAATGAAACAACAGCTGTGCTTGAAGGAGCATTAGTAGACCCATTTATTAATTGAACACTGTCATGTTTTTTTACTTCTATTCTTTCCTTCCTGTCTTCCATTGCTTTCCGTCTCTCTTTCCCTCACTTCCTGCTGATGTAGAAGTTGGAAACCTGAATCATGCCGTTCTGCTTGTTGCTGTCGGGCAAAGACATCAGTGCATCAGGGCAACAGCTCTACTCAGCAGCATAACTATTTTCAGTGAACAGTGAATATCACTAACATCATCTAAGTCCAGCTAAGCTCTTAAACTGTCTGTGCTTTTGAGCCTACTTCTTTGACAGGCAGAAATGCTGGGCCTAACAGAGCTAAAGCAGTGTTCAGCACACCTAGTCATGTTCAGCAGCACAGTCTATACTGGATAAAATCTAATGTGCTAAAACGTTAAGCTAATCAAATCCTTAGTTATGTGTTTGCTACCTTAAGTGACTAAATCGGGAATATTTGAGAAATTAAGGAACAAAATATCCAGTTCATATCAATATCCAACTATACTTTTTGGAGTTTTTATCAAACCAGGTTTGACCAAGTCAAGTTGCCTGAATAATACTTAGATAGATTAAATATCAACTGACCCCGATGACTGAACATCTTGATACACAAAAGAGTCAATTAAGAACTTTTTATGAGATTCGACAGCAGCTTTATCCAAGGGGAACATATTGAAATGAGAAAAATAATTAGGCTGTTTGAAAATAGAGAACTTGGAAGCAAATCAATTGATGAAACAATTTGCCCATTCTGCTTATTGCAAGCCAGACAACTATACTTCTGAAGAGAATACATACACACACACACCACACACACATAAATGACACCTACACTTGTGGCTGCAAGCTGCGGAGGAAGTTGTCAATGTGGTCCTGCGGTATGTCCCCGTCCAGATGAGCGAGGTAAGTGTAAAGTTTGACAAAGACGTTGAATGGGATCCTTGCAGCACCACCCTCTTCATCCTCTGTCAGGATCTCACAGGCAAACTTCAAGGAACTCATGAGGGTCTGAGAGAGTGTATATATAGACACAAAAAATGTGACAGTGGGACTTACTCAAAAAACAGACAGAAAAATACAAAAACATGCATTCAACATTCAAGGATGATCACATCCCACAAGCACACACTACAAATACACTTACATACACACACTAACTCACAGATTGTTAAAAAGAAAACCCTAATCAATATAGAACAGGACTGCCCTCATGTGGTTAAAGTGCTCAAGGACCCCATTCACAGTAGTGTGATTTCCAAGCTACGGACACTGAGCTTGTAATGTTGCTCATTCTGAGCTGCATTTGCTTTTGCAGTGTAAGTCATCATCCACAAAGTTCTCCATGTGTAAAGATATTCTCTTTGATCTGACTCCGCTGCTCTATCTGCATCATCTGAGCAAAATCCTTCGCTTAATAGCATTGCAAAGATTCATGTAGACAGAGAAAGATTTCTGGAGTCTGGGAACCCTAATGGAGAAGTCTGGATCATAGATCTGGATCTAGTCAAAACATTTGAGAGTGTGAGATGAGCAAAAATTGCACTGCTTGTGGATGTCCAGGTGTGCCTAGCCTCACATTAGGTTTTAAGGCTCAAAAGACATGGTATAACATGGTATTTGCATTTATATCTGGCCTTATATAACATCTCACCGCTCCAAGAGCACTGCAGCCCAAGGCAAAAAACTCCATCCAGTCAATTTCTGAGCTGAAACTACCCAGTGACAGCAGGGTCTCCAGCTGATCCATTGGTAGACAAAGACCTTTCCATTTCTTCTGTAGTTCCTCCTTGCTGCATGTTTGCCAAGAGGACAGCTATGATTGGGTACAGTAAGTAAGGGTTAGGAGAGTTGAGGAGAAAAAAAATCAGGTCATCTAGTTTATCAGATGACGGAATAAATAGCAATATTGGTTCTGGGGAATCTGGCAGCTATGGATACTCATGATCTGTTTATCAGCAAGCTTTCCTATACTTATGGTAAACTTTTATATATGGGAAGCCATGTAATTAAGACACAGCAGGGATAAATATGAAAGAAGAAGAGTTCTCTCCCAATCAAAGCTGGTAGATTTCTGAGCATGTTAATGTCTCAAATCAACCGTACAATTTTATATTAGTGGTAGATTTGTATCCATTAAGTTTTTTTAAATATCTATAGTAAACACAGATTAAAATGTTACAAAAAATAACTCTGTAATATTAATATTACTGGCACACAAGACAGAAAAAGAGCGGCATCCAAGTTAAGACTGTTGCTTTAAGTGTTGACCTCTAAGAGAATATTACTTGTCAGTAGATGCCAGTAGATGCCCCAGGTGATTAAAAAATAGGTTTACAATAATATGAAGCTTTAGCAATCCGTATGGGGAAACAGGATCACTGCAATATACAGATACAGAAAAAAACAATATGTGAAAACAAAAGTGGATATTAAAGGTAATACACTAATAATTACATTCAGAGAAGCATATAAGGTAATAAATTACAAGGTGTATCCTGTACAGGACATGCAATTTAAGCACAGTAAAGCACACTGAAAAATAAGCAGTACATTAAATACAGTATATTACTTTTCTTCCAGCAGCAGCAACATGAAGAAAAATATTACGTCATATTATGTATGATCAGTTCTATGAGGTGTGGTCTTGCTCCAGAGAAAATACCTGTTTGTGAAGAGTCTTAAGTAGACCTGGTGTCAGCCCAGTGCCTGTCTTCTGGGTGGCAACATTCATCTCCAACCTGTCCTTGACAGGCAAACACTCTCCTTTAGACAATGCATTGAAGTATCTGGGAGAAGGCACACACACATTATTAGCACACATATTATTTCACCCTGTTTGTCAGTCATCTCACCTGATTCCTAAGTATGACAATAAAACGCAATGTAAATTGGAAGTTGGTATTAGTCCAATTTAACGGACTCATGGGTAGCATCAATTAAGTCATCATGTGTTGTTTTCTTTGTCTGAAGTTTATTTATATTTTCTAAAATGCTAAAGGGCATACTGTGGCTTATCTTCCTTCACAGTTTAAATAACATTTTCAGTGAATTTAGGTGTTACTTTAATAGCACATAAACATCTTGTAACCCAGGAGATTGTCTTTGTTTCACCATATGGCTCACTTTATTGTCCTTTGGTGTAAACACTACCAAGCTACAATAGCCAACAAAATAGCAGAGAATATGACAGTCCTTAGGGGTACAAAAAAATCTTGAAATATTTAAATTTCATCCGCTACTTTTAAAGTGCCTTTTCTTTGTTGGAGAAAGTCGGATAGTTTAACCGCTGCAGTAACATGGAAGCTCGTGGGATCCAATTATAGCAAGTCAATGCAAAAATGAAAGATGCACAGGTGAAAAGGGCCTGTCTTATTGCACAGTGATGCTGCCTGGAGAAACTGTTTATAGTACTGTTTAAGAAATCAAGATTGGAATAAAACACAATCACGTCTCTTCTATCTGAACCACTGCTGACAGACATTAAGACTTACGCCGCAGACCAAAGCAGCAAATCCACAGGCTGTGTTCGGATGGCTGCCTTGGTGAAGTTTTTGAGGATGTCAGGCAGCTCAGGAGGTATGCTGATTTGTTGGGCACAGTACATTGTGTCCAGGACAGACATGGCTGCAATATAAAACACTGCAATATAGTACATTGAGATCTAGCCAATATCAGGTCTAAGAGAAACAAAAAAAAAGAAAAAAAAAGTGGTAGCTCCCTGGCCACTTACATCTACCCACACTGACAATAACAACCCCATTAACATAGAAATTCAATTATGGTTCTTTGGAGTTTGCTATCCGATGTTGCTGTTATACTGAGGGGGTTTGAGAAGAATAGGTACACACCATGAAAGCATGTTTCAAGCTCAAAAAGCTACAGATATGTATGTTTCCTGGTAGCAAGCTGTTTCTGCAAGATAAAAGGAGCTATGCTGGAGAAGATCTCATTCATAAGGAAACAGGATACAGTTATTATCATCATTTTACATATTTCCTTGAATGAGAAATACAGCAAGAAAGAAAAACGATATTATAATGTCTCTGGCTCTGGCATTAGCCACCCGACTAGTGGTGTGTTTATAATAACAATTGCTGTCTGTGAAGGTTCTCAGTCATCCAAATTATGGTTGTCCAGGAAAAAGTTGAACTGGACAACTGGACTTGGTTGTAGAAGTCCAGTTGCCCTCGATTAAACTTTTCTTGGAGTAACAGTTCCTAAATCTGCTCCATAAACAGTGACTAAAGAAACAAATTTTAAGACACCATGTTAGCTTAGAGTCGCTAGGTTAGTTACCTACAGTAGCTACGCTTAAGAGCAGAGATGTTTTAAAATCGGGTCAGACCAAGAAAGTATTTCTGTGCTGACACAGTATTTCTATTCTTTTCAATTTTGTCAGAATCTCTGAATTTATATACCTAACTTTCCTTAACTTTAACTGAGCTATTGCGGTCATAGTGCTACTGAAACTAAGTTGGCAAATATTAGCATAGAATCAAAAGGCTTTTCTATGACTGTTAAAATAGCTTGCGCATTAAACACTGTAACGTTACCTGCACTGTTGAATAATGAATGTGAACGAAAAATCGCAGAAAGGTGGAATTAAATATGTGTGACTAGCTCAAATAAAGACCATTTGTGCCTGGCACCTGAATTGTGTTTGTGTATCATCGTCGCATAGCAACAGCGATCTTCTTTGGTTTTTAAAGGTGCCTGAAACACATTACCGCCCCCTTCTATTTCGGAAATTGGATGAAGGCTAATTAACTTTTCCGAATTTTGACTGTTTACTCATCGAACATTAATTTAAAAAAAAAGTTTGGTGCGCCATACCGCTCAGGACAAAGGGACATTATTATGTCTATTATGTTTTTGTCTCCTCCCGTCTTAATTATTGTACTGTGTGCAACCCTAAGTGATCAAGGTCTGCCACTACTACTCAACACTCATCATTATTAATACTGCTATCATCATTAGCAACATTAATACACCTAAGAATATCGCTATTATTATTATAAAATCCAGTCTGACAATGCATGAATACAACAGTAGGCTATACACAGGTGTTCCTGGTCACTCTCTTCTCCCCCATTTCCCCAACCAGTCTAGGCTGACCACCCTGTCCCGTTCTGTTAGGGTTTTTCCTTCTCCTCTGGGAACTGTTGGGGTTCTCTCTAAAATATAAGGTCTTGATCTTACCATGTAAAGATAAGGTATGTTGATTTGGCGGTATATAAACAGAATTTAACTGAATTTAACTAACTATCCAAAAAATGTACAGCTGGAACACTGGATACTTCACAATTTGACATAGGAAGTATTACATTGAATTTTTTCAACTTTGAAGAGGTCACTTGTTTTGTAATGTCTAGGAAATGTAGCCTATTGAAAATAGGCTATGATAACGTTGACATAGTTCATTATCTGTTCTAAAAGTGGTAAAAATCAGTGCAACCATTAATGCGTCTTTATTGACAAATTTGAGTTAGAACTGTTGCAAACCAGGTGACACACATTCAAACCAACACATTATGACAGACATCATTCTGTGTCAACACACACATTTATTGAAGTGATGCCATAAACGGGCAAAACATCATATTGAAGATTTTATTATTAAACAGGTTCTTGAAAATACAGGTTTACACAGACTGTGATTAGAAAATAATAGTACAACTACCAGTATTTGGTATCCAGACTGACATGGACAATTTAAAAAAGCAGAATATCCCCCAACCACAATAGTAGCTGAGCAACTATGATAGACCAGAGACAAATTCATACTTATGCAATAGCCACACATGCACATTCACACAATCACTGTCAGGTCACATACACTGGCAAGTGCAAATTTGTTCTAGCACATGTATAAATCAAGTCAAGAAGGTAGAATCTGCTTGTGAAATCCCTTTCAGATTCAGCTAACTTAATATCTAATGAGATCCATGTAATACAAACAGCACAGCGTTTCCTCTCCAAGGTTCTTACAGTGGTACACAGGGCAAACAAAATGTGTTTAAAAAGTAATTATTAAACAATGATAAGGATGGAGTCTAGCGAAAACAACACAGGTTACATGGACTAGATAATGGACTACCTCAACGTGCTAGTCCCCTTTTACCCTTCCCAAATATCTCTTTCTCCACTTGCTTGATACAAAAATAAAACTGTGCTTCCCCAAAAACCCACCCTGGACACTGCTGTGCCTATAAAACTATCTAGATTCAGATTCCCCACTGACAACTTCAGACACAGACTGCTGTTTCCAACAAATTATTACCCCATAAGCCCCCCCCCCCGGACGAGACTTGGGCCAAGTCATTATTTGAAAGGCCTTCAAGTGCAGTTTTACAATTGACAGTTTGTGTAACACAATGGAACCAACTGTACTGTCCACCTCAAAGCACAAAGACATATCTCTCATAAAATATTCAGACAAAAGCAGTTACTCAAAGATAACTGAAATCATGTGTAATTGGCCCAGCTCTGTCCATGGCTGGCAACCCCAAAAGCATTGTTGTGCTACAGATTAGTGTGAAGGGCAACTTTTTGAGGCAATGCGAATGGGCAAACTCATGTTTAAAATTATGCAAACATTATTTTTAACCTTTCCATACATGCCACTGTCTACAATATTGATAGTAGTAATAACTGAGTGTTAAGACCCAGATAATATAATTTCATGGTTGAAATGCATCTGAGAGGAAAATGTGAATGTGGGCAACTTCTTGTATCAATACTGGCTAAGGACTCAGGAACTTGGAATCAAACTAAAAGAAATGAATGTACATACAGCAGTGGAACATACAGACCAATATATGAGAAAAAGATAATGCTGGATGGTCCATGGGATTTTATCTTTCTCAATGTTTATTGAGCATATACCTCCAAATGATTTTAAGTGGGTGATCCTGTGCTGCTGTTTAATGTAGCACTTACATACTTTTGGGAGACCAGGCCCGCCCCGGTACAAACCCCAAGGTGGTCAGCTGGTCAGTCACAGGGTTCTGTCTTTCCTGATTCTATCTCTTGCCCCTTTTATTACCAGCAGGGGGCTTCTTGAGCTGGAGAAGAGGCCCTCCTGTGCCAAAGCCTGCAGCAGGTGGATTAGAAACCCCAAAGGTCAGACCGGCCGAGGGGTTGATGCCAGGGTTACTGAAGTTGAAGCCTGAGCTGCTGCTGCTACCAAAACCTATAAAAGCAAGAGAATGCACACAGATAAGTAAACAGATAAGAAAGGTTAAAGAAGAATAAAAAAGGTTAGAGAAAATAAAAGTAATGGAACAGATTAATGACAATTAAGGATACCCAGGTAATATAGAGACTGTAGCATTCGCTAAGGTGTGAACAGATTTTGTCCACTTGGTGTAAAACCCCAGATCCTAACATGTGTTGTGGCCAAACTGACAGCACACTTGCGTAAAATGCCTACAAGACCATAAAAGGATGATGTTGGCAAAGCCTACTTATTTCAGGAAACCAGATAAACTATATATATTATATTAGTAGTATAGTATTTGCACCATAGTATAGTATTATTTTGAAGGTCAGGAATAGCTTTATACAGGAAGTTTGTTTGCTTCTGATGGCATATGCTCAGGGAAATATCGCAACTCTGGAGGTACACTTGCAAACACTTGTCTACCCTGACTCTAGTTGGACTATACTTTTTCTAGTTGCTGTAATTTTGGGGGGCTAGCGTGAAGGGGGTATATACAGTATGTATGTACCTGCACTCAGACTGCCTCCTGTGGGCTTACTGGTGGAGGAGAAGGCAAAAGAAGACCCCCCAGTCCCCACCCCACCAAATCCTGGCCCACCACCAAAACCTGTGGGAGAAAGTGACATGGAAGTAAGTTTGGGCAAAGCACACACTACACTACACTAGGAACGAATACAAGCAGCAGTGCCTCAGAAGTACACATAGGCAGGCATTAGCTAATGTATATGCAAAACAACTACCACAACCTAATCAGTACAGCACTATGCAGGTTCTAACTTTTGATAGGAGACTGGAGAAAAAATACGAGCCACAGTACGCTGCATGGCAAAGCAAGGGTCAAGGGGAAAAAAACACAAGAACGATGAATTTCACACCAGCTACAAGAGAACACACCAACTTGGTGTGCGTTCAGACCACTTGTTCCCACACTGTCAAGTGGATTTGCCAGTTGACATGAGAAAGTATAGTAACAACATATATATGTAGAATTGTTTTAGGAAACTTTTTTTTATTTTCAGCCAAATTTATCTTCAGTTAGGACAAAAATTTTCCAACTTATCACATGTAAAGGTAAACACAGCAAGGGCTTGCTCAGTTTTCGTGTGGTGTGAACGCACCTGACCTCTTGTATGAGGAAGAACAGAAAAAAATAAATTGCCAAGCTGCACCACTCTCTCAGACACATACACACTGCCTATATATTCTTTCATAAAAAAAGAACAGAAAGGCCTCAAACAAAAATGTTGCTTGGCATTGGATGGTAGAGTGTGTAAGGGGAAAGGGAAAAAAAAAAGGGAAAATTATTTTAAAAAAAAAAAAAAAAAAAAAAAGGCAGAGGTAATACCTCCAAGGGTAGAAGAGCCCAAGCTAGTGCCCACTGCCGAGGCAAAGGGGTTTCCAAACCCTGCCCCCAAGGGTGCCTGGGTCCCTAAGGCACGGAGAGAGAGCATATTCTTTACTCCTCTGAATGTGTTGTGTGTGCATGTGATTTAAATCATGTTCCTCAGCTCCTTTGACAGAAAAACCTTGTGAGAACGTTCACCATAACAACAAATGATGTATTTTGTGACTTGCACTATCACACAAAATTATAAAATTGTCTTTTCAGTACTTAGCTTTAAAGTTTTACATGTATCTGCAAAAAACAGAATGTCTGCAGTGAATGGTGTAAGAGGAAGGTAGGGACATCAAAAAACTGCAGCAGCTGAGTACTACTCTATACAACCCCCACATGGTCATTTAGAAATACAATACTACAGTATAACTGCAGAATCAGGCAATGCACCATGCCTCTACAACAGCAATGCACACATATATCTACTTTACATATATTGTTTTAAAAGATTTAAACTATAACATCCCAGTTAATCAGCAGTAGTTATTGTAGCTGACAAAAAATGCTGCTAGTTCTTTCACTCAGAAACTTGTCTTTTTTTCTTTATGCAATTTTTTTTCTATGTAATCAAATTTTGCAAAGCTTCCAATTAGTCTGCATTATTAAAACAACTTCAGTCAAAAAGAAACAAGGACAAACGTTTCTTTGTTTAAAAATTGATTTATTTTCAATTTAATATGCAATTCCACTTACATAAAACACAAACAAACAGTTTAGAACAGAATTGATTGTTAATTGCTAACTGCTACTGCATTTGACAAGTTTCCAAATTTTCAAGATTTCTGAGAGTGAATGAACTAGCATACGCCAAAGAAATGCATCACACAATAGTTGAATATAGCTTAAAAGGCACACCATATTATATATTAAATATACTGTTATCAACAGGCATTGGTTATATAAGTTTAAACACACTCATCTACAAGTAAAAGCACTCGAGATTTAGATAAAAAAATGTGAATTTGGCATCTATGGCTGCCTCTCAGTGTAAAATGATCAAAATAAAGGAAACTTAGTGATATGTTACAGTTTGCCTGTGGAAGATTATGTGGTCAAGTTTTGGGTCATCCTTCCAACAGGAACAGATTGACCTTTGTGGTTTGTGTTTGCTTGAACACTTCACCAGTGTATCCTTAGACATAATCACAGCCAAAATGTGTGGTTAATGGTCTTTTTGTTTTTAAACACAAAACTGCACCTTGGATAAATCTACACGATTGCAGGCTACAAATACTTTCCTTTCTTGGATCAAGTCAGACTTAAGTGAGGTGACATATTGAAAGAGATCAGTATAGTTTTCAGATAAACATTAGCAGATGTGTAGCTTGTCAGACAAAAAAATAAAAAAACAAAACAACCTCAAATAGTAGTACCTCCTGGAAGCAACATACAGAAAAACCACTACAAAAGCAGCATAAAGTAAGCGCATGATAAAGAGTCAAAAGGAAATGAATATGAGAAAATAAGTAACATTCAAAACGGTAATAGCCAACCACTCAAAAGACCAGACTCTGATTTCCTGGATGTTTGACTAATCAGGCCCATTTTGGTGAACTGCTATCTTGAAGCTCAACATCAGACAGGAAGATACCATATAAACAATTCAGACTTATTATTGAATTTCAAAATAACTCAAGCTGATTTTAGCACAGGAGGCAAATTGTGTTGCTAGTACTGTACCATCTATAAAAAAACAAAATAATCACATTTCAATTCCTTCACTTGTTTAAAAAAAGAGGCAAATGGGATCACTCTTGCTGTTGTAATGGCATTCAAGAAAATACAGCAGTCAGCATTTGCATACATATTACTGACAGATATTGAGAAGATACCTAACATACAGGTGGCTAAATATTTACTATCAACTCCAAGCTCCAAACCGCTTGGAAATACCAATAATTATCATTATTGTGCCATGTATGAATGTAGAGATCTGGAAGACAATATGTTGAATTGTAAGCTAAACTACACAAAAGAAAAAAATCTGAACAACTTGGGAATCCAGCTACGTCCAAAACTATCTTAATCCTAAAATTTTAGAGTTGTTTAACAGAGGACTGGAATGTCCAAAGCAGCAATTTATCAATTAACACAGCAGTTTCATCACAAGAAAATAATCATTTAGGTTCACTGAGCACCACTGTAACTAGCAGGAATATACAGATGAGTGCTAGAGAGTGAACTGAAAAACTTCATTTTTCTGTCCTTACTCCTCTGAGTGCCAATAACACTGAGCTCTCATGAGAGTCTGCATCAAGCAACACTGTTTCATTTCATCATAAAACAGTGGGAAATAAAACCCCACACAATAAAGAGATGAGGACATGCAATCTGACTACACTCACCTGTCTTTTTCATTTGGCACAAATGGATCTTACTGGCACTGAAGGACCAGTGTAAGCAGCAAAAACCATTCTTCTCCTCTCAACTACCAAACAAATTGGGCTAAACAAGAGAGATTTTCTACACAATCAAGTAACTTAATTCGGCAGAAGTCTGTACAAAGTACCGCCACCGTGGATAAAATACCTGAAATTACAACTTGTGAACAGCACTCTACATTTTCATTTAACTGAACTGAGCATGAAATGATCCAGCCCTGTTACACTGACAGTAGCCCTTAGGTGAAATAGCTTAAATCAAGTAACAGTTTGGCTTCAAACAACCAAACCAATGAAATGCGTTTTAGTATTGAACAGTATGATAATACAGAGTCCTTTTTATCGCTGCCAACTATTCATATTATACATGAACCTTCAACATACACAACTTCAGCTCTTTGTTCACAACACTTGATTGTATACAAACACACTGAGCATACTGGTTCATTTAGTCCAGCAACAAGTGACAAAGAAGCAGGCTATTTTACAAGGTTATCAGTTTCACTTCCACTTCAAGACCAAGTTCATGCAGTAATGGAAAAACAATTTCTTTGTTTCAATTTACAGTTCAGGTAATTAAATAGATTATATCTTCAGTCCTGAGTCTTTTGGCACCTTTCACCTTATGTCCATTGAGGCACAAATCTGAACAAGCTTGTGGCCTACACGATCATCCACCACACCAACAAAGTGGGTTAAACAAGAATCTGCCTTAAGTAAGTAGCACCCATCTGCACGGTTAGTGTTGTATGTGCTGTGATACTGGCCACTCTTGACTATGCCATTCCAATTATGGACTAAGCTATGCACATTTACAAAATAAACTAAAAATAAATAGGTAAATAAATACTGAAGAGACCAAGACATCCACTTATGATCAGGCTTTGTTACGAGTCAAATATGAGAGAATGACCACTATTTGGCAATAGGGATGGGAATTTTGCTAAATATTATTGACATTACAAACAGCAATCATGTAACCTAGTTCCCAACTCTGGGGTTAACAGACTGGCAATGCTATGTGTTAGAAACAAGTTGCAGTGTTTTAAAACAGTGCAATGCAGCTTTTTTTTATACAGCTAGCATACCCAGAGCACATAGGATTACACTACACAAAAGATGAGACACCAATTTGGCTTCACATAAAATAAAAACTGGAAAGCAACACAAAAACAGATGCCAAGATAGTGTACACTTTTACCACAGAAGTGGATCTTACCTACTGTGACAGCAGGCCTTGTTTGTGAAATGCAATGGACCAATGGATTTATGAAATATCCCCATCCCTACTCGGCACATACTTAAATGAGCTTGATGGTTATTCATAATAGCCTCTGCATGCCCTGCTTTACGATCAAATGTATGCAAATGTTCAAATATTATACTGAAAAAAAGTCACATTCATTGTCTGGGTATGATTTTTATGATAAAGAAGCTTAAGAAATTTGCAAATGAAACCTGACTTAGGCACAAGTTTTTGTAATTTGCCATGTGAGAAATTTTAAACCACGCTGCCTTTGTAACCCCATCCAATTAAAATATTGCTTTCAATCTTCTGAATTAAGACTTTACTACACTTTATTTAACTTTACAAGAAAAAAATACATCAGAACACTCTAATATACATAGTAGCTTAGTTTGTTAATCAAAAGTGGGTGCCCTGATATGCCAGTAAAATGGCCTACAAACCAAAGCCTACAAAAAAGGCTGAAAATTTGTTTAACACCTCAGAGATGTGGCAATAACTATAATGGAAACTACTCTTAACCAAGATATTTTAGTTGTAAAATGTTTAATAAATGTTCATTTGTGTGCCATTGAGTGCTGAAGTGGCTGAAACAATAGGGTCTGCTCAGTTATAATATTAGTGTGTAGGGCTTATTTAAATATTTTTGGGATGTACTATCAAAAATTCCTAAAAATGTCAATTTGCCAACACACCTCTGACTCTGAATAAGCACTAAGTGTGTTCAAACTGCTCAGTCTTCACCTGTCTTCTTATGCTCGATATTAATACTGTGTAGAATAATATTTATCAATACGGTTTTGTGGGGTGGGGGGGTGAATTATTTAGATTATGGCTAAAATTGGGCCAAGACCCACATACTGAGACCCTGAACAAGAGAAACTGCAGCTTCTACAAACAATGGAAACAGCGTCTTTATATAAATTCTCTTCTAAAAAATGTTGAGGAGTCTTGTATTTTCAGTGACGTAAGCTGATGCCAATTGGCACCTGATTAATTGGAGGTTCCCTACATGGAAGAGACCTCTTGACAGTTGGACTAAAGAGAGTAGGAGCTACATTATTATAAATTTATGTTATACACTGACTGATCATCTAAACACATTCTCTTCACAGCAAACGTCTAATGCTCCTAACCCCACTACATAACAACCTTCAGTGAGTCGGCTCATTTCAAGCATTGAATAAAACAGTCCTAACTCAAATGATATATAGAAGCTCTAATTATAACTTTGAGATTCAAGTGAATAAAATTGAGATAGCTGGACTTTCTTTCCTATCATATAATTTCTTCAAACATGTCAGCCTTGTGTACCTGCTCTTATATCCCAAATGAGAGAAAGAGAGAAATGAGGTGAACGAATTTGTTATATCCTTGGTATTACTGAAAGTGCATAACATTCAGTGTTTGTTTGTACAGGCTTGGCACCAACATTGCCAGATTCACACTGTATCCATCTATAAAATGTCACTCTGGTATTGTAAGGCGCATTACATAAACATGCCTAACTCTTGAACGGAGTCAAGAGAGACATGATGGAAAGGCAGCACAAAGGTTTCCTGTCAGAGTTTAGCAACAGATTTCTCCTCTCCCCCTTTCTCCCTCTTTTTAGCCTCTTCTCTTTCATTAGAGAAAGTACAGACAAAACAGCTTTGCACCAGCTAAGCCTTTTTTTTTTTTTTTTAAATTGTTCTGTCCCCTTTTGGCCTTTCCACTCCCAAATTATCAAAATTTTTAGAGCTTACTCATCCTGTCATCTCCAATTTTTTTTTTTTTTACATTTTTTCTCCTCTCCCTCCTTTATACTCTTTAAGAAAGTGAAGAGGATGAGAAGAACTTTTTAGAACTTGTAGGCAGTCAGACCTGGAGTTGGCTGCTGTTGCTGGGTCAAGGTGGCTGCCATGGCAACCGCTGCAGCGTTGGGCACACTGGAAAATGGGGCAGGCCCTGTTGTGACTCGTGGCGTACTTTGCCACTTCCTGTTGGATGCCCGTTTGGACTCAAAGACGTCCGTGGAGTCTTCAAGGAAGGCCCGACGATAGGAAAGGTACTGGTGCTTCAAGATCTGCAATGCAAGACATGACAGAGGAAAAGATGTTTAAAAAAAGTATAATTAACATGTTGCCCACATATGTAAAACAAGAACTTCACATGACTATCTTGTTTGGTGTTGTAGTGTAGTGTGGGTTAGGGTGTAGTGAGAGAGGCTCTAGTCTCTAAACAATGCAGAACCCTCCTGTGCCCAAGTCTAAAATTTCTGATAAGGACAATTCAGATGAAGAATCAGTAGGTGTTGAATTTACTTCAATAAAATCAAAGACCTACACGTTCAGACAGGAATGGCTCACGCAGTTCACATGGCTAACATATAGAAAAGAAAAAAGCGTCTTGTATTGTGTACTGCTCTCAGTGTGGTCCGACATTTGCGGGGAAAACAAAGTTTGCTGAGTCCACCGCACACTTCAAACATGAAACCCTAGTCAAGCACAGCAACAGCTTGAAACATAAACAATGCAGGGACAGATGCTGTGAGGGAAATGCAGCGCCTATGGAAACAGCCTTTCATAGACAGGAATCTATGAATCGGTCTGCAGAAGAGGCTGAAATGATGATAAAATTCAACACCATCTATCAAATTGCAAAGGAAGAGTTGCCATTCATGATTTTCTTCTCTTAAGGCACTACCTCATTTTGTGACTTTTTCATTTAAAATAAAACAGCACTTTGTTATTTCTGTAAATTGTCTGTTTATTATCACAGCATTTATCAGTAATACAGTTAAAATTGAAAAAAACATGAATGTATTGCATTGCATGTCGATTTAAGTGGTGCTCCTAAATTTTTCAATAAGGAGCACCAGTGCTACTAGTGGAAAAAGTTAGTCTGGAGCCCTGAAGCAGGAGGAAAAGAACTGACCTTGACATTTTCATGAACTGACTGGAGCTGGGCAGCCTGTGCAACAAATGTCTGGTACAACTTCTGCATGGCCAAAGTGAGGTCTGGAAAACACACCCAACAATATCATCATCTGTGAGCACATTTGTGGTGAGTTCATGAAAAAAATAAAAGGGTGAAAAAAAGAGCAAGAAATAATGATCAGCAAGAATCTTTATTAACCAAATCTTAAATCCTTTTTGCCACTTAAATATTCTATTTTTTATTTGTTTTTTTATATCAGTGTTTAACTTGGTTCTTAACATAACAATAATATAAAATAAATAAAATATAAAAAAATATATTGACTAATGCTGATTTAGAAAACCTGGAAAAGACATTTTACCAACTTTCCAGAGTTGTGTTAAAAGTCAGATAAATGTCCACTTACCCTGAGGAGTGATGTGGGAGCCACTGCTCTGTGTTGTCAGGTGATTCTCCAACTCTTCTATCTGCTGTCGGTACTGCTGCAACTGCACCTCAAACTGCTCTACCAGGCTGCGGAAATAACTAAACACAGAAAAATCACACAGTTTCATATTTGTCAAATCCATGAAGTGATAAAAGCTGACACACACAGCCGAGACAAGTGATGAGAGACATATTAGCTTGACAAGAAAAGAAGCCGACAATCATAATTAGATGAATATTTAGTGCTTTCTCATTGGACTCAAATGCAACAGATCAACAACAAAAGTTTTAGTTGAAGACAAATGCAAAAAGAATGAATGAATGAAGAATAAATCACTCTGAAATAAATCACTCTGAAGTAAATCACTCTGAATGCACCGTCTTTGATTTGTTTTGGGACTACTATCTGGTAGCTTACTTACTCGGATGGAGCAGTGTTCTCATGTTGAAGTCCAGGGGGAGTCTTTTGTGTGCGTAGTGCTATGTCAGCATTTTTCAGTTCCTTTATAGGGAAGGAAACAGGAATGTCAAATTTCTGTTAAAACGGATAATCTATAGATCCTTTCCCCTCAGGATTCCATTTCATTCTAGGAGATCACGTCCAACATTTTCAGTTAATGAGGTGTGAGTAACACACAGTTAAAAACCTAGATAATTAAGGACCTCTCATTTCAAGTCTTATTTGAAAGAACTAGATTTGTCTATAACTATACCTTTGGGAAAATACTATCTACATCCATGTTGGTTTAGAGCTGGAGCATTTTCAGTGAATGGCTGAAAATGTTCAATAGTATGTACAGTTCAAGTGAATGGGAAAGTGGTCTGAGACTTTTGGGCCCCACTGTACATACAATGGATCTTTGACTATGTAAAATGCATGCATCAGAAGTAAAAAAGACTAGCAAGATGTCATTTAGGCTTGTGTGTGCAGATTTTTTTTTTTACCTGCGCCGTCTCAAGCTTCAGTTTGTCAATAGCTAGAGCTTGGCGCTGCAAACCACTGGCACTGACAGAGAGAAGCTGTTTGAGACTCTTGATGTCATCTTGGACTTTAGAAATGGCCTTAGATGACATCCTGCTGATGTCCTCCTGAACCTGTTTCTGCTCTTTCACAAATTTTCTATAAAAAAAGAAGAAGATAGACCATTAAATTACCTGCACAAAATATTTTCAAACAATACACTAAAAAGGACACCAGTGCCAAGTATTTATATCTTAATTAAATGTGAATTATTGATTTTACGTGGCAATTAGCCAGTACTTAAAAAAAAAAACACCTGAACACATTAAATTAGATTTCATTTGGATTACATTGCCAGACTCAATCTAACTAGTAGAAATCATAACTTTATGACTATGAACTAGCTGTGTTTACAACATACAGCCCAAATCAGCCATGTCTCTTTTAGAACAATAGCACTACTGATGAAACAGCTTAACATTTTTAAACAAATTAGATAATTCTTCCGTGCCAAACAATGTTCACAGAGGCCTTTTGAGCCAGCAAACAGTGAATCAAATCCTGTGATATACATATATAATATATACACATACAAGACTTACTGGAAATTCTCGACATCCTGACAAATGACTGGGGGCAGGTTCTCATCTTTTAAAGCTTTACTGTCCCTAAGGGAGAGAAAGAATGTTTTTCATCATTATAACAAACTGTATAGTCTTCACTAATCAGGTATACATTTACAGGACTGGAAGCCATTGAATGCCTCTCAGAGAAAAGTTGTTAACATTTTTCCACTTAATAAAGAACAATGTGTATGTTGGTCAGCAAGACTTACTGTGCATTGGTTCCAGATGATGTGTCGCTCTTACTCTCAGACGAAGTGCTGAAGTCGACCCCACCCAGGCCAACACTGGGGGCAGGGGCTACTGATACTGTTGTGGAGGTAGACAGCAGAGAGCCCAACGTTAAACCACCTCCTCCAAGAGTGGTCTGACCCAAACCTAAAACACCAAATAAACATAGGTTATAACAATACAATATTGTTAAAATTGAGAACAAATGCTTAAATATACCTCAATAAAGACAACTGAGTCATAATCAAAACCACTGTAGTTGTAATGATTTAAAACACCAATGTCCTCATTGTAAATCAGAGGTCACAGCGCTATGTTAAGGTCACAACCAATTTGCTTTACCTAGTTTCCACAAACTACAAAAACCCTTAACTTCTTATTACCTTCACCTTTGCATGGAATTACTTCACAATACAAATTACATAGCCCTTGCCAAATTCAACTCAAATCACTTATCATGTGAGAACATGCCAAGACTATCCATTTGCATCCCACCTGTGGACACAGTACTGGAGAAGAGACCCCCGCCCAGTGATGGGCCTGTTGAGGCTGCTGTGGTGTTTGTTGTGGCACCAAGACCAAGGGTGAAGGACGTGGCTGCAGGCTGCTGTGGAGCTGTGGACGTCAGGACAGAGCCAAATGATAAACCTGCCCCGGCAGGGGGTGCCGAGGAGGTGGTAGCAGTGGTGGTGAGGGAGAATGGTGTTGCTGAGGCGGTGGGCTTGTTGAAAGCCAAGCTAAAGCCGGTGGAGGGAGCTGTAGTGGCTGAAAGAAAGTATAAGTACAAATTAAGGTTATAACCTGTTTTCATTAACTTTCCTTCCACAATCTTACTTCTAAAACATCTCATTAACACAAACATACCTAATGTAAGGCCTGTAGCAGGTGCAGCTGCACCTAAAAGGGAACAACATCACAACATAAGACAAGATGCAGACATGTTAATTACCGATAATTTTGTCACTCGCCATTAGGCGTGTTTTATATAAGTGTGACATTATTACTTGAGGCAGGTGTGTTGAATGAGAACCCTCCAGTAGGTTTCTGACCAAAGAGAGTGCCTCCTAGGCCAAGAGACGGAGTGGTGGTGCTGGTGGTAGGGGCAGGGATGGCGGCTGCTGTACCCAGAGCAGTCCCGAAAGAGAAGCCACCAGTACTGGCTGCGGGTGCACTAAAAATGAAAAAGGCATTAAATTCAGTCATATGACTACAGTTCTTCTATGATCCCAGAATTGAGTAGCAATCTAAGAACAGATGAATAACTTGTCATTGGCACAGTAATACAAACATACAATTACTCCATTAAAATGGGTCAATTTAGAGCATATTTATAAATGTGCTCTACATTGTAAATACAGACATCATTATTGATTTTCGGAGGGGGGGGGGCATGCCCTCTTACTTTTTACCTTACACATCTTAATTGTTACATATACTCCAAAGGCTACAGATGATCTGGACAAATGTATAACGTGGATCAAAGTGAAACCTGTGATACCCTTGCAGTTAAGAATGTAACGCCAAATTTTCCGTTAGTTATCAGGTCAAGCCACAAGAGCACAACGGAAAGAACTTCAAGAATAAAGTAACCATTACCAATCTCTCTCTTTAGTGTGCTACATTATGCAACACAAATGTCATGCAAGTTTGGTTGGTTGTGGAAATAATGTTAGACTCAGGTTACAGTTGAGAGGAAACACATATTGTCGGGGACACAACACCGCCTTACGTCAGGTTAACTTTGGCTATGCTAAAGTTAGCTAAATCGGCTTTTGAAATCTGCCATTACCTGGTTACTGCCCCAAATGTGAATCCACCGCCCGTATTGGTGGAACCAAGAGTTCCTGATCCAAAGTTAAAGCCAGACATTTTCTTTTAAGAGGCACACATTTATCATCAATTAACTATTTCCACTTCACCCACTCATCAAGAGGTTCAGCGAGCAAACCAGCATCACAGCTAACACGCTAGTTAGCTCTGAAAGATGCCCGCGTGAGGGCCAAATCCGCGGTCTTATCTTCACTCAAAACATATTTTGACAAAATTGTCGCCTTTCACAAATAAGCGGACCTTCTCAGCGGTAGCCTGCTATGTTTTCTTCCCTTACACTTCTGTTTTTTAGATTTTTAAAACAGCCAAATATCGTAGGATGAATTCTCGCATGGTGCTACTTTTCCTATTGCCCGCCTGGTATTTCCCGAATGCTATTGCATTTCGGGTAATCTTTCTTTCAACTACGTTTCCCGTCGTTCCTATCGCTGTTTTCGTAGCGCGTGATGCTTCACACATGCGCAAGTATCAACTTTGGTACTGTCTTGCGGACGTTTCCAACAAAACCGTCCAGTAACGATCGTAACGACAAAAGACCCCAATTTGATTCCGGTATTTCTTTCAAAATAAAAGACAAATTGAGACTTAAAAATTGTGGCAGATGCATGTATCAGGCAAAACTTGTGCTTTGTCATTTTTGGCATTTGCTCTATTTTATTTATAAATGATTTCTATTTTTTTATTCTATTAATTTTACATTTTCATTCCCCAGCTGTTTTATTTTACATTGTATATATACTTTTACACCTGAATTCATACTGCAAATATATTACATTTTACATTACTGTGTAAATACCTTTACAATAAGCAAAGTTTCCATCTATACCACTTTATGTCCATTTTTGCATCACCCCCAGAGCTACTAAAAAACCTTTTCGTAATGTTTTTTGGAGTACTGGCCAACTTCACTTTCTCATAACTGTTGCTTGGTGTATGTTTTTCTTCTGCAGTTTCTTGCAGACGAATGTGTGTAATTGTTGTTTTTATTTGATTATTTGACTTATCTTACCTTATGCAATGCTTGATTACCAAAGGGCCAAAGTGAGCAATTGCTCTGAGGCCCCAGACCCTCAGGGGATTTGAAAGCTCCAGGTTAATTGTTGATTTTTTTTTTGCCAATACTATATGGACCTCAGGAGCATATTATAAACTGAAACAATAGTGGACCTTAATGCAACACCTGTATTATAACCTGATCTTGAGGTCCAATCTTAAAGAGTAGCCCTCAGTTGAAATACATGTATTGTACATATATGATGTAATTTTCTAAATAAGGTTGTGATTAATCAAAACTAAACAAAGTTATTACTAATTATTAATACAGAGAATTAGTTATATTCGGACCCCATTTTTTGTTATCTAAATACCTACATAAACTCGTACTTTTATTTTTAAAATCCCACACCACAACTATTGACGTGATTGCCAGGATCTTTACGCGGATGGAAGAGTAGAATAATTGACAATAAACACATATCGTATGCCTCCGACAAAGTAAAGGTGGTTTGTGAAGCAGTTTCAGCTATCACATTATCAATGATACAGTTTTCACCGGAAGGCGTAGTTTGAAGCTTTTCAGTCGCTGACAGCTGCCTTGACTCGAAGAAATGGAGCATATCCGAACGCCAAAGGTAGCTAACATTTCTAGCTAATTGCAAATAGATGGGATACAGTCAGCAGCTCGGCCTTCTCTTTGGGGGATTTTTTTAATGCTTTAGTTTGTTTCGTTTGCCAGATATCAGTGTGTAGACTAAATGTGTGTGGATCGATCCAATACAATGATTGCTAGCAGGTGTCGCCAGCAGCTTGGAGTGCCAGACGTGACGAGCATCGATGAGCTGTTTGTTTTTTTCCCGTGCAGCAGATAGCTGGGCCCCCTTATTGAAATGTCACTACTTGCACGCCCTATTAGTGATTGAGTTAACGTTACACTGTCAAGCCAGTTAGTGCATTTAGTGTGATAATAAATCGGAAGGAGAAACCAAGCTACAATCAGACATGACTGTAAATCCGATAGTGCTATATGGTGCTCACACCCTGGGTGATCATTGTAAGACTGACCCTTTTACATACAGTCTCACTATTTTACCATTTGGACAGTTATCCTAATCATACGATTAAGAATTGGGATTTTTCTCACACATTGAATGCTTTTGACTGTCCAATCACCCGAACTCCAAATAGGTACTGAAGACTAAACTGAAGCCAAACAACTCCCAAACAAGTAAGATGTGAAGATTGCTGCAGTACTGACTTGGCAGAGCATCACTAGAAACAATACAATGCAGCAGGTGGTGTCTTTGGCTTGTAGGCTTCAGACAGTGATGGTTTCAAAGTATTTGCAAACAGATGATGAATATGATATGATGATTTAGGTTTTTTTTTAATTAAATTGTTGTTAAAATATGTATTAAAAGTGCTACAACTAATACACTTTTCACCCATTGTGGAGGTATGAAAACATGTCACTGTCCATATACTTCTGGACTGCAGAGTTTATGGTTGGAGGCTATCCTTTAACATTTACCACTCAAACTTCTGCATAGGCCCGTGTAGCTCATAAGCTGGGGACACAAGCTAGGCCTACTCTTTGTTGTATGTGTATTGGTGAGGGTGTGTTTATTGAAAGGTGAGCTTTCTTATATCATGTTAGGAAGCAGTGTGACCTAATTTTTGAGCCTCCAGGATAATCACACTTACTAACTAGAGGGGCACTCAGAGAGGGCAGACCTGCGCCAAGGCCAAAGTCAAACAACATACACCAGACTTCAGAGAAATAAAAATTAACTTCATAGTAAATTAGCCAAATCTGCAAAAAAAATGAATGGCTGCTTCCCTGGTCCATGCCTCATTCCTCCACCAAGTTCAGTGCAAACCTGTTCAGTACTTTTTGCATACTGAATAACCTCCTTGGTGGAGGTAACAAAGTACACTCAATTCTTAGATAACACAATTGCCAATGGAGTAAGGATACTCTGGGATCAGGTGGGTGTGTTTCCATGCAGACTGGGTGTGGCCCCACTGTCTAAATCCTTCTGTTTGTTTGCTTGAATAAAACAGCACAAGAGAGCATTGCTATTTAGAAATGGTAACCAGATGTTTTCACTTTGTGTAAAAAGGCTGGTGCTATGTGTCTTTGAGTATTTTGTTGGATGAAACAGTTTTTAATTAGCATTAACCCTGTGGTCAATCTGCATCAGAAATTAGCTAATGCTTTTAAAAGATTTACTTTTTAAAGAAAGTAGGCAATTTTTGAACTCGTCCTGACGTGGTGTTGACCCACCACGCTGCATTTGCAGTACTTTGAAACATAGCTTAGACAGCTCCATTAATTTACAAAAATATAAACCTTCACTTCATCAACTTTCATGAGATTGAATGAGATGTTCTGTCTTTCTTTTCCTCTCTTGCTAATCTCACTCATTCACTCACACACACTGCTGGCTTCCTGTATGTGCTATGAAGTCTGCCTTTGACAGAGCTGTGTCCTGCTGGTTGCTGGGAGACAGAGATAGACTCAACCATTTCATCATATCTGACAACAACAGGAAAACGGAAACAGGAGAAGAAGTCTGAGTCAAGAGAACCACTGCTGTGATGAATCATGAATTTGGACAGTTAGCAGCGACAGCAGCAAATCTAATAGTCTAGTAGCCTTTTGGCCACAGAGTGAATGTGAATAGTAACAATCAGCATATGTTGTTTTAATAAGGATAACTCTTATTCTAATGGATTTTAGTTTTAAAAGGAATGCAGGACTGTAGAGTGAACATGTATTTAATGTCCATCAACAGTTTCTCAGAATACATGCCTGTCATATTGGGACTGATCTTATTAAGCTCTGTGATATTTATTTAGTAGTATGGTGTAATAGTGTTATAGACAATATGCATACACTAATGAAGTACATTTACCCTTGACTGTTGGTTTTCTGCCAAACCTTATTTAATGGAGTTTTGAATGGGCACTCTGACCATCAGGGAATATAAAACTGGTTGTTTATTACAGCTGGACCGCAACCTTCTTCCTGTGTTAAAACTTGTGACTTGAGTAAATGTTCTACAGTCAGTATCTACTGTATGTGTGTTTATGTGCTTGGATGAATTGGGGATGGGATTATTGCAAAAACATAACAAGGCTATACCTAATCCGTATAGCAGAATACATTTTCAATAACTTGGGAAATTTAAAAGATGAATTGGGTTTGGCTTGAGTTGGTAAGGGTTGGTTAAATTAAGGTCTGGATAGTTTATTTATCATCACATTTATGAGTGTTACATTATTCAGTGACTACCATCATTAAACATTTTTGTACTATATCTGGAAAACATTTGTGACTCTCATCATAATGGAACTGGCAGCTGATATAGAGGGCCAGGTGGTCTGGATTAGGTAGTGTGCCAGCTGGAGCCAATGCCAAGTGCCACTTGCATTAATTTTGTAACAGGTGTCATTGCTGTTAGCAAGATCCTTTTCCTCTTTTCAGTATATCCTGTACATAACTTTATAACCAGCTGACAAAGTTAATCTTATTGTTAACTACCAGCTACCTGCAGATTAATGTTTGTGTGTGTGTGTGTTTGTGTGTGTGTGTGTGTGTGTGTGTGGGTGTGTGTGTGTGTGTGTGTGTGTGGGTGTGTGTGTGTGTGTGTGTGTGTGGGTGTGTGTGTGTGTGTGTGTGTGTGTTTTGTTTGCAGGTGGAGCAGGTGCGACTTTTGGATCGTTTCAGCAACAAATCCACAAATGGCACACTGTACCTCACAGCTACACATCTCATCTTTGTGGAGAGCAGCTCTAACAACTCAGCCTCTGCAGGACAGGAGATCTGGGTGAGTCCCTTTTTCTCCAAGCAAATGCAAACATATGGATGCAGCCACCATGAATGTACCATTGGTTTTTCATTGGTGAAAATGTGATAAAAAAAACACAGTTGGGCTCAATCTACAGTGCCAAGTGTTAGGTGGGTTAAAAGGGAGGCTCCCTATGACTAAATCTCCATATGCGACAGAAATTTCACCTGCTGGTGCTGATTTACCAAAAGTCCGAAGTGAGATGGTATGATTTCAAGCACCCCAATTCCTGCGGGTAACTGAGTTGTCATCTGACCTGTTTTTAGCCTTCCAATTAACTTTTTTTTGTCTGCAGTATATTATTTTTGGACTCCCACACTGGAAGGACTTATGCAGTGTAATGTTGCCAGTAGCAAAATTATTGCTGCTGGTTTTTTCATAATCTGCAGCCAGTTTTATCTGTTTTGAGGTCCTTGAAGCACAGTTGGAAAAAGCTGACAGGCATAGAAAGTACAAGATAATGGAGTTTAAAGACTGGTGTTTTAATTGCAAAGAATGCCGTAAATGACCATTCTACAGAAACTTGAGCTTCAGTGTGAGGTTGGTGTTGCCTATCCACAGCCACACAAAGAGCCTTCGGTGTTACCACCACAAGGAAGTCTGGAACCTGATTTGTGTGTGTGTGTGTGTGTGTGTGTGTGTGTGTGTGTGTGTTGGGGAAAAAGAGAGATTGTGCAAGCCTGTCTGTGATAAGAGGAAGTAGGGTAGTGTTTCAAAAGCCTCACAGATAATACAGTAGCAAGGTGTCTTGTTAGGCTTCTGTGCATACACGTGAATTGTATATGTGTGTGTTTTCTGCCTCCCCTTGAAAGAAGATTACAGTTTTAGCACCATGAGAACTGTGTTGTTGATGTCAGTAGGTCATCCTGATTTGCTGGTGCTCTCCTTTTTTTTTTTTTAATGTATAAATGGCAGTATTCGAGTGAGAGAAACATGTAAGAAACAGAACTTTAGTCAGGAGATGTACGATGCTGTTATAATGGGCCAATGGCAGTCATCTGACACAGTTTAATGGGAATGTATCACTGGGAAATAATGTGCAAGAGTTTTGGTCTCATGTAATGTAATTTGGACATGTGATTTTGCATATTTTCCCCATATTGTTGTCAATCTTAGAAAATATTTTGTTATTGTATCATGTGATTTGTGATAGTGATTTCATACATATGATCCAGTCCTATTTAATGGCTTCTACAGAGTTTTGTTGACATATTGCACACTTTTAAACTGTATATTATGCTTTCTGTATGTAAATAATTGCCGTGTACGTTATATATGTACTTTATGTAGAAAAAAGTACTATAGTATTTAGAATGCCACAGTCTGCATTGTTGAAATGTTAGTGGGGTATGAAATGCTTTATGCAGCAGATCCCGGGCCATGACCTCCTTCCCAACCATCCTTCCTGCATATGTGCTGAGAAAAGGGAACATTTTCTTTGACTCTTTTTTTTATGTCCTGTTTGTGTGTGTGTAGGTGTCTGTATGCATGTGCTATGCGTTGTATACTATATTAATCTGCATTTGTGGAGGCCATTTACAATCAGTCTGTAAGTCTGAGTGAGAGTTTGTCACCTTTTGTCATACTTATTGTACTTAAAATATAAAGTATTAAACAGCAGTTGAGTCACTGTCTCAACAGCTGGTGAGATTGGCATTTACAAGGTTGAGGCAAACAGTAGTTTGCTATTACTAATTTCACCTTGCCCTTTGTCTGTGTGCGCTTTTTAAAAGGCAGTGGTTTGCTTTTACGTCCTCTTCGAACATTTTTTAAGCTATTGTTCTTGAATAAGCATCATAGAGTGTTACATTAGTTAATCATCACATTCTTGCTTGTTTATATGCTTTACGTTTACCTGAGGTGCAGATAATAATGAGAATCACAAAAGTGCCTTGTTTTGACCATTTCTTCCTATCTGTTATTTACTGGTTCTTCATGATCTCTAGTCACACACGGACTTGTATGTCATATAGAGGTTCCTAGTGCATACTTTATACACAGTACATGGATAACAGCACTTGCATTTTTAGTAATATGTTGCTGTTATTGTTAAATAATCGATTATCTCTTCTTCTCTACTTTTTCTCTTTCAATGTAATTCAGTCAAATTAATAGAAACAAATCATCACCTGATTTAAACCAGCAATCCACTGAATATAATAAATGCTCTTTTTTCTCTTTGCTCTGTTCCTCCCTCCCTCCCTTCCTTACAGATTTTGCATCACCATATAGCCTCTGTGGAGAAGCTCTCTCTGACCACCACAGGCTGTCCTCTGGTCATCCAGTGTCGTAACTTCAGGGTCGTTCATTTTGTGGTACAGAGAGAAAGAGACTGCCACGATGTCTACAGTTCACTGCTGCGTCTCCTACGTCCTGGTGGGTTTCAGTGTGTCTGTCTGTGTTAAAGTCATTGTTTCTGCTTGGCCATTTAGTGGGATCTGTGTGCTATCATTGACCTTCCTATCCTTTTGTTGCTTTCTTGCCCCTCCTGTTTTTATTGACATTCATACACAGTGTTATAGATATTATCCTCTTCTGGTTTTCTCCTTCTCTGCCCAGTATCCTATGAGGAGCTATATGCCTTCTCCTACAACCCCAAACAGAATGACCAACAGAGAGAGGAAGGATGGCAGCTCATTGATCTGGGGGCGGAGTTTGAGAGGATGGGCGTCCCCTGCGACCAATGGCAGCTCACTGACGTCAACAGAGACTACAAGGTAGGCAGTTGGCTAGAGTTGTAAAGTATAAGTGGAGACAATTTGTCAAAAGGAAGATCCTTTAACAGTTGTAGTACTTCTTTGTTATCTTGGATGTTGTAGCCTCTCTTATGTGCTAAGAGCAAGGCGAACAAGCATATTGTCTCTACAATGTTGCACTTTTTTTATCAGCATTACATCCTTTATAATTAAATGGATAAACACAGAGATTATGTCAGTGCATTTAGTTTGGATATTGTCCATGTAGAGGAAGTGACAAAATAAAACTAAAACTAAAAAAAGTTAAATTAAAAAAACAAGAAATACTTCCAAATGGTAATAGGCAAGCCCAGTAAAAACAGGCTTTGCTGACGGTTGGTAAACCTTGGCACCTTCTCTGTTGTAGGTAAAGTTCATTGCACACAAAGAAAAAATAGAGTATAAATAGAATAGAATAGAAAGAGTAGGCGCTTTGTTGTTTGGCTGCCATTATAGAAGCTGTACATGTTTTATGTAGCTGTGGTGTATGTTGTTTTGGTATATAGTTGTATTTTGGCAGTGTAAAGTACAAAGTACTTTAGTGTGCTTTGTGCAAACAATGTCCTGGCTTGTCAGGCTCAAATGTGAGGCTATGTAAACTGGCTATGACTGAGGGTGTGGTGATATTGTAGGGAAATGGTTATTGCAGTAAATTGGACAAACCAGTTGGATATTACCACACACAGACATTATGCATGCAGCTCCAGAAGGGAGCACTAGAGCTTCATTAGTTTACTCAGTGCTAAATATTATAGTATTATAGACAAATAAAGCTTCAGTCATTTTTTTGTCTCTAAAGAAAATTGATGTGCTTTAAAGAAGTGATTACTCCCAGGACAGTGCAGAATATTATGAGCCTCAACTACAGTTTTGCCGTGTTACTGATAACATTTTGATTCAGCACAATATGTTTATCTACAGAACCATTTTAGAGTAGAATCTTCTTTGTGTTGAATGACTGATTAAAGACTTTTGTTATAAGCACCATGTTTGATGGTTCAGAGCAGGTAGATGTCTGTCATTATCTTTTGTTTGTGATTGTATATGTGATGTTTGTGTCGTCTGTATCTTGTTTTCCAGGTGTGTGAGACATATCCACGGGACCTGTATGTTCCCATCACAGCCAGTAAGCCTATCATCGTGGGGAGTTCCAAGTTCAGAAGCAAAGGACGTTTTCCTGTACTCACATACTTCTACCAGGAGAAAAAGGTACTTAATAAACTGTAATAGCATACTCACAAAAGAATACAAAATGTTTTACAGAGTGGGAAAAGTAATCTTTTTATGCATTTATTTTATAAAGTTTTGTTTGAGTTTTTGGTTTGTTATAGTACTTTATAGAGAGAATGAGGAAGGGGAAAAATACTATTGAAAGGAACAAGACTGCCATTATATTCTACATTACACCCACGGCACATAATTGTTTAAAGTCTTGCTAGTAAGAGAGCTAAAACATAAAGATTTTCCACAAGGTGGCAATAGAGGAAAGGCCATAGAATTACTGAAATTGAAAGGAGTATTCTCTAGGTTATATGAATATGCTAAGCAAATTTTATGGGAACGTGCACATGGAATTGTGTAACAACATGTACATAGTGGCTCTGCAGGAAAACTCATAAGGTGTCTAACAAAGGATTTTTCCTCTGCGTACATGTATGTGTTTAACAAATTTCATGGAAATCTGCTCATTATAGAGGGTCACCAAAATTGTTAGGGATCACTGTTTGAGGCTCATGAAATTTTCAGGGAAATCTGGACAGTAGTTGTCAAGATATCTTGTTGAATACAAAAATGTCAGAGGGACCGATGAACAGACATGACTATTATTGCACCCTACAAAACAAAACTTGTATTAAACACATTTTACAGCACTGTAACTACATTAAGAAGTTAGAATCAACATTATCTGTACATGCCTATTCACATTAATGCATTTTAAACTTGGAAAGATAGCAATTCACTATTTTGACTATTTTAATTCTGACAACAACTTTTCTGTCCTGCCCACTGTCTATTCTGCATTAGTCAACTTGTCAAAACCTGACTCTTAATAACGGTTTGGCAAAACTAACTGTCTGTACTCTGCACACATTCTGTAGACAGTCTGCAGACAGTCTGCATCAGTGCATTTTTGGCAGATGGACTTCTGGGTTTTTTTGGAATAGGTTCAAGCACAGGCTATATAGTGCACCACAAAATGGCTTAGTCATTATCAATTATCCATTGAGGATTGGAAAGCTGAAACACAATACTAATGTTTTCTATCTATAATCAAAACTAAAAAAAAAAAAGCAAAATGGCTAATAAATTGTTATCAATATTTGAACTCCTTGTCAATTTGATAAAGCTAAAACAAATATTCGGTGAGATATGGAGGGAGGTTATGACTGTGGTCAAATGATCTAGTTTTAGTTGATAATTTAGCAGTGGTATTTTGTATTTTTGTAACTGTCCTTGTTCTGACTCTGTTCACATTGATAGGCAGCAGTGTGTCGATGCAGTCAGCCTCTCTCTGGGTTTAGTGCACGATGCTTAGAGGACGAGAGCATGCTGCAGGCCATCAGCAAAGCCAATCACAACAGCCGATTCGTCTATGTCATGGATACCAGGCCAAAGGTAAGGTGGTTATAACCAAACAAAGACCTCAGAATAACATGTACAATGTTTATTAACAGCAGATATGTTTTTTAAATGTACTGTATTTACAGACCTGGTGAAAATTATTGGCACTCCTGAATTTTAAGTTCAAATGAACCAATTTTGTATTGCCAGTCTATTTTTAATGAAATGTCCAAAGTTTCTGAAGGAAAAGATTAGTGAAATAGTGAACCACAAAATGTACCCCAGGCACACTAATTGGCACTGTTCATCAGTATTTGGTTGTAGAACCTTTGGCATCAATGACAGCCTCTAAACATTTCTTGTAGCCATCTAGAAGCTCCTTGCACATGTTAGCTGGTAGTTTCTGCCACTCTTCCATTGCTGTTTTCTTTAAGTTTACAGGGTCCCTTTTTGCAATAGCAGGTTTCAGCTCTCTCCAAAGGTTTTCAGTGGGATTTAGGTCAGGACTCTTTGCTGGCCAGTCCATCTTTTCCTTTTCAACCATACTTTTGGTAATGAACCCAGACGTATAACTGGGTTCAATACTACATAAGCACACAGAGTAGCAGAGAAGCAAAGAGATTAAGGGCTGAAACCAGTTGACACTAGGCAGAATGCAAATACAATGCAATGACATAATAAGGGTATTATGTCATCTGGCAACATTTAGAGACTTTTTGAGCAGGCTTTAGCTAGCAAGTAGTTGTTTACATCAGTTCTACAACAGTTTTCAACCATGTTCTCAGTTTTGCACACTGACCACACACCATTAAGCCTTATACTAGGTTTTGACCAAATATTGTTATCTGTTTTTTCTGTCCTGCAGTTGAATGCGCTAGCTAACCGAGCGGCAGGTAAAGGCTATGAGAACGAAGACAACTACTCTAACATCCGCTTCCAGTTTGTCGGCATCGAAAATATCCATGTGATGAGGACCAGTCTGCAGAAACTGCTAGAAGGTTAAACACCTTACTACACACATCAGGACACATATAAAACTGTCAGTGTATTTTTTGCAGATTATGAAGGGTACTTCTATAATTAATAAGACAAAGTGCAAGTAGTCAGTAAATGGTCTATGTATGTTTCTCTCAGTGACTGGGACTCGCTCTCTCTCCATGAGTGACTACTTGGTTGGCCTGGAAAGTAGTGGCTGGCTACGGCATATCAAGGCCATTGTAGACGCAGCTATCTTTCTCGCCAAGGTACATTTTTTAACTTTCCTTGTTCTTGATTTTTCTTTTTCTGAGCGTGCATTTAATCCCACATTAAGATCTTTATTCAAGATATTCAAATACTTTTTTCTGAAGGTAATATGTGGCATCTTCCTATAAACAATGTTTAAAGCATGCACTTTAACCATAATGATATAATCATCTCTACCTTCTATAAATCTTAACTGTCCACCTTCAACCTGCTCATAATTGGCCCATTTCCACTAACCAATCATAAACACTGACTTCCAAGGACTGCTTAATTTGTTTTAATCATATCACAATATTTTGCTGTCTGTCTTCACTCTTCATCCCAGGCGGTGACAGTGGAAGGAGCCAGTGTGTTGGTTCATTGTTCAGACGGATGGGACAGAACGGCCCAAGTCTGTTCCCTAGGGTCCTTGCTCATGGACCCTTACTACCGTACAATGAAGGGCTTCATGGTACTAGCCACAAACACACACACACACACACACACACACACACACACACACACACACACACACACACACACACACACACACACACACACACACACACACAGACAGACAGTGTGGTACTATTTTAAACAGGGGCGGACTGGCCATTCGGAAGTTTGGGAAGACTCCCGAATGGCCTGTCCATTTCAGGCTGAACTGGCCAGTGGTCAAAGAGTTTTGTCTGATATCAGTTACTGTAGCAGGGACACGACAGGTAGTATTGCATGTATTATGATTTTTATTTATTTATTCATTTATTTATTCATTCATTCATTCATTCATTCATTCATTCATAGGGCTATATATTTTTATAGATTATAAACAACAGTTTGCAACATGTTAACACACAAAGCCAACATTAAATCAACATAAGACACGCCAAAACAGACAACAACAAATATTATATATATGTATGATGTGTACTGCATTGTAGTTTTTGATTATGTGTTTAAAAACATTATGCATGTATGTGTGAACATTTGTAGCTATTTTAGCCCTCTATGACTGACTGCACACATTTTGGTAGTTAGCAGTATATTGTGACTCTAGCTCAGGCTTGCCTGACCTGGTCTTGTTTTGATTCAATGCAGTGGTGATGTGCTTATACAGACTGAGGAGGAGGGTGTCAGACATCCTATAGTGGCTTGAAGGTCTTCAGCATAATCTGATTCTCTTTATACCACAAAAACATTATTAGTGTTGAAATTACTGCCAAAAAATTTTATGCTCGCGAGTATAAAGGGCCTCTCCATCTCAAAGTCCGAGGCTGAATTACAGTACCAGTATGTCCCTTAGTTTAAAAAAGGACCAAAGAGCTGATCATGAATGAATCAATATGAACTTACTTTTCCCTTACATTTGTCTTTTAGGTACTGATAGAGAAAGACTGGATCTCCTTTGGTCACAAGTTTGCCGACAGGTGAGCTTTCAACTGTGTCTTCCCAGAGATGTGGTTGCGACTAGAGCAAACTAAAACAGGAACTCATAATTGCATTTGCCCCATTTAATATTTCTTTATATTGTATGACTATTGTATATTACCTGATTTATATATATATATATATGTATATATAGACTACATACTACAGGTGGACTCAGGTGGCTGCAGGGGGTAGTTGCTCACCCTGGTGCCCCAGAGGCCAAAAAATACTTCACCTACCAGTGCCCAATTGACTGCCCTCATTGGTGCCCTTTCACTGGAAGAAAATGTGATAGTACCCTGTAAAATAACCCTAAAACAGAGAAAACATGATAAAGTCTGCTTTAAGGCTGCTTTAGGTGCTGTATGGTTGTCCTTCTAGTGGAAATAAAATGGAAGTGCTATATAAAGTATATTTACTTTAGTGTTTTTACTTTTCACTACCCTGAAAAGATCTTTCAAAACAGGTAATTCTCAAAGCATAATATAGTATAATATTTTTTTTACTGCAGATGTGTTTGAGAAATAAACATTTAAGTTGTTATGCATTCCCTCTATTTTATTACAGAGATGCTGTTTTCCTTATATTCACCCTATAAAATGTTCATCTCAATTGGGGATGTAGCCCTCTTACATAACATGCTGCTGTTCTCTCCTAATGGAGGACAACAGAATGTATTAGGTGCCATATATTTTTTTTGCTCCCTCCCCTCAGACAGCCTGAGTCCACCATTGCTACATGCATACTAAATATATACTATTTATACTCCTTAGCTGTTTCTTCAATGTGAAATTATGTGTTTTTGTATTGTGTACCTATAGGTGTGATCAGTTGGATGGGGATCCCAAAGAGGTGTCTCCTATCTTCACTCAGTTCCTGGAGTGTGTCTGGCAGCTGACGGAGCAGTTCCCACAGGTGTGTGGAAGTGTGCGAGCGACATGATGTTTATTGTATTTACACAGATCAACAGTATGTGCCTTAAATGTGGTGTTTTATTGTATTTATTTAATGATAACTCTCTCCTTAGGCATTTGAGTTCAGTGAGTGGTTCCTGCTGCAGATCCATGAACATGTCCACTCTTGTCAATATGGAAACTTCCTTGGCAACAATCAGAGACAGAGAGAAGAGTTGCAGTGAGTCCAACAAACACACACGTTTGTGTAGAGTATTTGTCTTTTTAGTTGGTTTGTTTTCTCAAAGTGTTCCGCATGTTTTCGCTTCTGTTGGCTATAGAGATGACAACTGCAACATATTAATTTTTTTTTTTTTCTAAAAGGATAACCTTTTTAAACTTTTCTTGTATTTTATTGACAAATTCATCATCAGACCTCTATTTTAGAGGCTTTGAAGAGACATTGAAAAACAGGTGTAAACAAACATTACTTGTGTGGCTGCACTTGTAACCATTACCACAGAAGTACGACCTCTAAAATAAACAATTGGGAATTGGGGATTGGCCAAAAGTGGTTCTCTGTGGAAATATACAGTAAACAAAATGTAGGTTAATTAATATAACAAATAATTTGTCAGTTGCTGTTGGGGACACTGCCAGAGAAAAATATTCCACATTGATTTTCAGATATTTCTCTTTTTGTTTAAACCTGGAAGTACTCATCGTCATCATGTGGGAAACAGCCACATGCTGTACCAACCTAAAACAAGCACTCTTTATTGTGGATTGTAATTCACACTGGTCTGACAAATACTTTATGTTCTCAAATTACACTGTCCAGCCTCATTACCTACTCTGTTGTATGTTTCATTATATCAGAAGATTAATGGAGCAAAACAATGATACACACCTGCACAAGGTGGTTTTGAAAACAAATACTTATATAGACTGTATTTTTGTTACCGCTCTCTGGAAGCATGGATATGTGCAGAGGGCAGTGAAACATGATGGAAAGCATAGATTTCTGATCCTTTTCATGATAGAAAACGTAACTACATTTATTTTATGGTGGGCTCTCTGTAATTAATTAATAATTGATATTGGTTTTTGAATGACTAAAAAATCGTTTCATTAAACTGCGTTTAAGTTTGTGTGTTGCATGTCTCCTTAACTATTGTTTTGTATTCAAGGCTCAGAGAGAGGACACACTCACTGTGGGCGTTTCTAATGAGCGAAAAACAGAACTACTTGAATCCATTCTACAGCCCGGCATTCTCTGAATTGCACCCTGTGTTGGAGCCTTCCACCCTGCCTTACCATTTCAAGTCAGTACAGCCTTCCTCACCCTCCTGCTATTGTTTACATATTCATAGTGCTATACTTTAATTTTTCACATCTTTCTACAAGGAATCTTATCTTTGTGTTTGTATGCACCTGTGTCTCCAAGGTTCTGGAGGAACATGTACCACCAATTTGATCGGTCCATGCATCCACGTCAGTCTATCCTTAAAACCATTCTGACTCTGAGAGAGAACAGCCGCAAGGCAGAGAGCACATTGCAAGCACTGGAGAGTGTGAGTTGACATACAAATCTGTGTAGCCCATATGTTTAAGTTAAGATGTTGTTGTTTTGTATATTCAGTGTGGATATATAGTGTTGTTGCTTTTAGGAATGCAACGATTGATCAGCCATCAATCATTATTGGCTGATTTTCATAAAAAATACGTGATTGGTAGATCTGAATTAATGCCTCTAGTCACAGATCACCCTAAAACCGATCACCTGTGGTTGATACTCTGCTTTGTGCAACTGACAGAAGCACTGTGTGCTCTTTAGTGTAGTCCCATCTCCCACCTTGTTCAATGCGCCAATGCGCAACAGGCCACGAAAACAAAACAACATGTCGGCTGTGTGGAACTTTTACAAAGTGTGTGAGACTGATATAACGTATGCCATCTACAATGCATGCCAAATATGATCGATATCGGCCATCGATCGGACGATATCGGTATCGTGGCAAAAAAACATGATCCCATTTCTACAGAAAAAAGAGTAACTATGGTTGCAATTTTTTTTCTCATTATCCCAAGATCATGAGTTAATCATCTTACGTGGATAACAGTTTTTTTTTTTCTTGTGATATTGGTACAGAATAAGGCCACGATTATTTTGAGACAAGATAATTATCTTATTATTTTTGTCTTGAGATAAAATAATTGCAACCTGCTGATCTGTTGTCCTGTTCCTCCCTCTCTGTCCAGAGGCTCCAACAGCTCGGTGTGACCCCTGTTGCAACCTCTGAACCCCCTGCCCCTCCTCCCACTAGAGATCAGCACTCCAACTCCAACACCCTCCCACCACGTCCCGACTCCCTCATCCTGGGGGCACCTATAAACCACAAAGAAGTGCAGCGGCAGGTGGAGGAGGATGGGCAGGAGGAGGTCGGCGAGGAGGCCACGGAGAGCACCGACACAGAGCGGACAGTAGAAGGCAGCAGTGGCACTGAGAGCAGAAAGCAGAGCTACGGAGAGCTGGAAGGGACATACAACAGCGAGCTGGCCAAAGAAGAGCCAGCTGTTGTCAGTCTGGAGTTTGGAGTAGCACGCATGACCTGCTGAGATCAAACGAGTATTGTGGGAAACTGAGAGACAGGTGACTGAGAGAGAAGGCTTAGAAGTGTGTGCATGTTAAGAGGAAGCTGTCATTCTGTATGTGATTACGTACTGATTACGCAGTGGTCCTGAATGGGCCGAGTGGATGAAGTTGTATGTCTGTATAGTCTAAATCTCTATGGAAAGCCTCATTATTATGTCATATATAGCACCTATAGGAAAAAGGCTTGTTTTTTTTATGAATGTTGAAAAGCACTATAGGGAGGTAATGAATAGAAAAAGAGAATAAATTCATCAAAAAAAAACAGCGAGTCTTCTAGTTTGTGGCCTTGATATTCCAAACATATTTCTCCTCATGAAATCCCACACAAAATCACAGTTTTTGGCAGCAGAAATATTTCATTACATCCAACAGTTTGAATCCAACCTAATCTGAATGTTGCTTGTGACCTGAGCGCATTTTGCTCCAGTCGGACAGATTGAAAAAAATAAGAATCCTTAATGATGTAGAACGTCACTTCTACATCGTTAAGGATATTCTATGATAGTAAATTACGCTGAGTCAAAATTCGGCTACATCACTAAGTGCATCTGACTAAATGCAGTTTTAGTTGTTTTTTCATGGTCTGCGGTCATTTCTCTTATTTAACCATTGATCTGACAATGGTCCAGGTCCAGCTGTCCAACTGTCCCCTTTATTGATCATTTAATCCTATTTTACCTCTCACATTGATCAGATAATCTGACTTCCTAATGTGCATTGATCCCAAAATCCTATTGGACTTCTGAGTCTGCCATGTCAGTGGCTTATCATATATGACAGCTGACCGTGATCATGGGTCATTGTCATATGTAGGATATGATTGCTGGACTTATTTAAAAAAGAGAATTTTACTGAAGTTGATTTAAAAGATCAACTTTCGAAGATCAACAATAACCCAACACAGCACTTGCTGTATATCAGACTGTGTAACTTGATATGTATAACATATATATTATCATTTAGCACTATACAAATAAATTTAATTGAAAAATTGAATAACCAGTACGGCTTACTGTAGCTGCCAATGCTGGATGTTAAAATACCTTTGGAATAAGCACAGCTAGATAAAATATTGTTGTTGAAAAAAGTAATGGAATGGCTTTAGGTAAAAAAAAAAAAATCTTAAGGTTTCTTCTTGTCATTGCCACATATTAAAACATTACTTTGTTTTAACTGGGTTAGGTTTACTGCCCTGGGAGATAGCATGTGAATTTAGGGCAAAAGTTCTCATTTCTCATTTATTTTTGAGCCAGACTGTGTTTTGGCTCAGCTTTTATTTCTTGAGAACATAATAATTCTGTGTTAATTTCAGACTATGGTTGTAAGTTTGCTTCATATCAAAGCTCAGAAAGGATTTGGTCTTCATTGGATTTTATTTACTGTACAGGAAAACATTTTCTCAATCAGTGTGCTGCAGAAGGACAGGATGTTAAACCAGGAGGATGTCAGGATGATCAGGGTCAATGTGTAATGCTATGCAAATTCTTGATCATATACATAAATTTTGTTTGTACTGAGGTTTCCATGGCAACTTCACAACACTAAACTCAGTTCATTCTGCTGTGTTTTATCCAGCCTGGGTGCTATTAAATACTTGGAATTTGTGCTTACAGCTTTGGCAGTGAACTTCCTCCTTACACACCAATCTCTTCAGCAACATCACATACTGTAGGAAAAAATGGAGTTCTTACACACACATAAACCATTCATACCCCATACAGCCATTGGATAAACTGAGCACTGGCAAAAATACATTGTCTATGAGTAAACACACAAATCATTATTCATCTGTAACAACTTGCAGTGAAGTTTTCCTGGTAGTATATACCCCTGTGTCAACTTTTTCCAAGCTCCATATGCTCAAAGTTAACTGAAAAAAAGAGGATAATTGATGCAAAGAGTACACATAGAAGAATAGGGTTTTCAGCAAGTGAAATGTGGTTTCATCCTTAAACTATCTTTTTTATTTAAATTCCAAAGTAAGTCTTACAGTGTGAAAGTAATTTCAAATTGCTTGAATATGTGTATAATATAATTATAGTGTTATATATTTTGTATAAGGAAGTCATTCAAAGTACAAATTGAAATTTTGGAATTATTGCATATTGTTGTTTATGACACATTTGGAATGTTGACAAAGTGGTAACTGAGTTTATCACACCTCTAATACTAATTCACTACTGTTAAGGCAGTCTTCCTGTAGCCTACTTGTGCACATTATTTCACATTAAACATTGAGAAGTCTCTTCTAGAGACAAGCTGCCGAGGGGCTCTCCCAGGGTTTTGAATCATTCAGATGTGTACTGCACGCCATGCTGGTAGAACACCACTGAGGACAAGGAGGGAATACTGTACTTACACTCAACACAAAAGCATTCAATACTCATTCAAATGTCTATACATACTGAGAACAATACAATACTCTTAATGGGCCACATTTAAGTCACTATTTCAAACTCTGGTCTGTAGTCTGATAAACAGAAAATAATGTAAATGAGAACAGCTTCATTGGGTATTGGGCTGTATAAAAATACTGTATATGTCAGCAGAGAGAGGAGGAGAGAAGCAAAGAGGTAAAGGACTGAAACCAGCTGACACTAGGCAGAATGCCTGGTTGGGTATTAAAATTAATGAAATGAAAAAATATTTAACGGAATGAATATACTGTATATAGCAATTATTCTGATTATTGTTATTGTTTTTTTTCATTTTATTATTTCTGATATTTTTTGGATGAAGGTAGGTGAATGTTCTTGTGTGTATATGAAAAAGACTGAAAAACAGTAAAAGAGACATTGTTCACAGTTTACAGGTTTTCAGAGTGTGTGCTTAGGTGGCTTAACAACAGTTGGTACCACTCCCTGTTGATTACTAAAGTAACAAAAGAGCACAGAGGGTAATCCTAGGGGGTTTAGTACACATACATACACAAACATGAACATGTGTGCTGACACACACACACACACATTCCATCATTATCTTCCAGCTACAGATTAAACTAAGCTATTGTGTGTGTGTGTGTGTGTGTGTGTGTGTGTGTGTGTGTGTGTGTGTGTGTGTGTGTGTGTGTGTGTGTGTATAACTGAAACTTCAAGCATATTGCACTTGGCTACACCCCTGTAGGTTCATAGCAGGTGTTTTTATCATCTGCCAATGATAAAACACCTGCTGACATTACTGATTAGGGTGTGTGATTTCATGTTGATTAATTTAGAGGCAAAGTTCAGATTACTTAATTTGTCATGTACACACCCTTATCTTAATCAATCAAGGAATATTACACAGCCAGACTTTTTTTCAGTTGTTTGATTACATGCTGATTACACAGTGGTCAGTTGTTTGATTTTAGCTTGTAATACACCATGTGAAGCGAATAAGGTGGTGAAGTATTTGTTTTTATCTTCATGTTTTGATGTTGTACTGACACTCCAACTAATCATATAATGTATGAAGTGGATTGAACACCATTGACACCATTGGCTATGGATAATTAAAGTTGGATTATAAGGGTATGTGTTTTAATAAATCAAGACAATTACATCATGATCTGGGGATTGTAGAATAATGAGAGAGGGCTTTACAGAAGGACCGGCTGCTGTATGGTCACTCCCTGGTGCACTGAGGAGAAGCAGACAAGTGCAATTTTTACCTAGACATAATTTGCATCTCTGGATTACTTTGCATAGGAGGGGCTGTGCTCTTTTAATTTCAAATAATGATATATACTGTACAGTTGAAGTCAGAAGTTTACATATGCCTTAGCCAAATACATTTAAATGCAGATTTCCTGACATTTAATCCTAGTAAACTCAGGTCTCAGGTCAGTTAGGATCACTACTTCATTCTAAGGATGTGTATGTCAGAATAATAGTAGAGAGAATGATTATTTCAGCTTCAATTTCTTTCATCACATTCCCAATGTGTCAGAAGTTTACATACACTTTGTTAGTATTTGGTAGCATTGCCTATAAATTGTTTAATTTGGGTCAAATGTGTCAGGACACCTTCCCCAAGCTTATCACAATAAGTTGTTGGAATCTTGGTCCATTACACCTAACAGAAGTGGTGGAACTGAGTCAGGGTTGTACGCCTCCTTGTGCGCACATGCTTCAGTTCAGTTCAGTTCTGCACACAAATTTTCAGTTGGATTTAGGTCAGAGTTCTGTGATGGCCATTCCAATACGTATCAAAAAGTGTCAAAGCACTCAGTTCAGAGAGAAATGCACACTGCCTGTGTTCAGGAACAACACTCAACCATCCCCCAAGCCCAGCCCACCCACACCTACCATTCAACCTAGCAGGATTTGGTTTCTCTGAGTGTTTACCTGAAATATGCTATATTTTTATTTGATCACTCAGAAAACAGTCTCAAAAGAGGATCAGAGCCTCTCTTCTGATTGATTCACCCACCTGTTGTTGCTAGAGCTCCAGAGGAAGGCCTGAGAGACAAGATGTAAAACTACACTGAGATGGTTTTTGGTACCACAAATATATCTTCTTATGGACATCAAAACGTATCAAAATGTAAAATATGGGAGCTTTAATGCAGGTGAATTCCCAAGAAAGCTGTCCTCATTTACATGTTTTTCTGTTTGTGTTGTCAAACATGAGAACAAGTTTGAAATAGTGATTAGAAGTGGCCCTTTAAGACTACATGATAACTTGCTGAAATACAGATTTTATAGCCACATCATCATCTAACAAAAGCACCAAACACATAAGTTAAAGACAAACACTGTGACTGTCACTGTGATTTCGGCTATATTTACTTTTAAATCACTCAGAGGGAAAGTAAGAAGCGACACAATAGCTTTCTTATTTCGTCTCTCAGAGTACAACCTCCATCTGGGTAAGAAACTGTTGCTTTGTCTCTCTGCCACTCACTCACTTAGCCAAGATTTGTCCAGAAAGTCGCTAGAATTGTCTCTAAGTGCTTTTTTCACCACAAAAGATGAGTTATCAATTTGCAGTATCACTTCTTGACATCCATTTGGTTATTTGCAGTTGTCCATCAGTTTTAATATATCCACACACAAAAGGCAAGTATTTCAGATTTGATCCATTGTTCCAGAAGGCGAATAACACCACCTGCTTTCCAGCTGTGTTTAACAACCCTCATCTGTAACTGACAATATTTGAACTTAATCAGTACAAATTATAATATACTTATCCCTCCATAAGAATTGAAAAGCAAAGGAAAAGAAAAAATAGAAAATTCAGGAGGGTGATGGATGCCTCAGAACACCATCCCTGAATTCGTTCATTTCCTGTGTATACTTTCTGGGCCTTAAGACATCATCTCAACTCTTGTCAGATAATTTGATGTTATTGAAGTGAAAAAAAAAAATGCTATATGAACACACAACCGTTATTTATCGAAAGTATGGATCTCGAGTTAGCAGAGAAACAAGAAGAGCAAACATTAGTGGCATTTTCACAGCCTCTTTAAGACATCCTGTGACGGCTGAACACCGTAAGAGAAAGACTGATTTTTTTCAAGTGCTTTATTCAGTGTTTTTACCAGTGTTACTCGCGTGGTCAGTTTATTTTGGGGATGAAGAGGAGACTTCTGTGGATGATTTGGCTCCTGGTACGAATCTCCTGAAAGGAGTCCTAACCAGGAGAAGCTAGCTGACTACAGTGACAGCAATGGTGGTGAAGACAACTCCCATGATCCCACGCTATTTCACAATGTCACCAAACTCCGTCTTTTGTTATTGTTCTGAGTGAGAGACCCATAGCAGCACACAGTTACATATTGTGTGTTTAATGGGGCTATTTGTAAGTCTTATCTCCCAACAAACGTAGTTTCTTGCCAGGAGTGGGCGGTGGTGATTGTCGATTGACAAGATCTTCGGCCATCATTGCCTAATACAAGATGCTATAATACACCCTCTGAGTGGTGCTACGTCTTCAAGGCAGATTGGAGACAACAGTGAATCGCTATTGGAAATTGACAAGACAGGCCGGGCTTAACTGGTTAGCATGCTAACATCAGTAGAAGAAAAAGTGATAGAGTTAAGCAACTTGTTGCTTTGCACCGCTGGAGACAGCTCTTGGTAACTAAAAGGATGAAGTTTGATGCTAAGTACGCAATGTTTCTCCTAGACTGGTAAGTAAACAACTGTTAATGCTAATGTTGGCTATGTAGCAAAACTTGCAAATAGCTCCTTTAAAGCAACTAAGATGTTTTGATATTTGGAAGATCTTTGATACTCAAATCTTGTACATTCAGCATCATGTCATCTTCTCTAACATATTCATATATCCGTCTATCCATCCTTTTATATGGATTCCCTTTGCCATACATGTATACAGACCCATGTGCTTTTAAAATAACATCAATATTTGCATCCCGAGGCTCTTTGCTAGCAGAGCATATAGTTTAAAAGCACATTTAGCAGCTACATGCAGGCATAGTGCAAAAGAAAATGTCCTTTAACTGTCCTACTTAGTGCTGAGCTTCACTCAAGGGGCTGAAATGGGAACCCTATTTAGACAGATGGGGGGAGGAGAGATAATAGTGTGTGTAAAGATAATAGGGTGTGTACTTCTTCTATTGTGTATGTGCATTGTCTGTCTTCTTTTTCACAGTAGAAAGACTCAGAAATTAATCATTAGGGTTGTAAAGAAAGCACATGTTGCATTTCACAAACACAAAACTGATTAAATCTACCTCAGAAATATCCATTGAAAACATCAACCACAATTCTTGTTACATAGGGAGGTGCCATCTTCATTTTGTTATAGTTTAACGTGTAGTAATCTCAAATTGTTAAGTTCAAAGTCAAAGAAAGATGAATATTGGTATCATCCTCTAAATCCTGTTGCTTTCCCACCAAATTTGAGCTGCCAGATTTATAATAATTATCTGTGGAATGTACAAATATTGCAGTGCAATGCTTTACTGATGTCAGAATGCTTCAAACAGCGTAATAATGTGCATTTCCATTATAAGAACTCAGCAAAATCCTTGGCTCATCTTGTGATAACTGAACCCACTCGTCAGTCTCCACTCATCAATCCACCAGCCATCTGCTGCTCAGTGTCAGCTTCAGGTCCATCCAATAGCTGGCTGACCAGCTAGCATAGCTGTAGGGCATTCTGCCTGAGTATCTGATGTACCTGAAAACTCACACACTGGGTGACTGACTGTCTGGTAAGCAGGCTGGCTGGGTGACTGACTTGTGGGCTGAGTGGACAGATTATCTTTCTTATTGGGGGAGAGTATAAGGAAGATACGCTTCAGTGCCTCACTCTGGGGAAGCCCTCAAAATGTGTTTGTGCGGTTGTGAGCTTGTCTGCGGATCTGTGGGTGTGTATGTGTGTTGCCTTGGGCGGATGAATGCAGACATTGTTTGATAGCAGTGGGCTGGAAGAGGAGAGCCTGTGCCCACAGTGACTTAGAACAGGGAGGAGAGAGAAAAGGAGCAGGGGAGGAAAGGAAGGAGGGGAGAGGAGGTTTGTAAGTGGGTCGGGGTATCAGGGAGATTCATGGGGGGTTGGGAGGATAGAATAGGCTGTTAAAAGAGCACCCACAGTGGATCTCGCTTAGCATGGAAAACAGGAGAACTCATGGTGAACCTATTGCAGGTGAGAATAAAATATATTTTGAGAGAGACACCAAAACTCCAAAAAATAGTGGCTTAGAAGGAAAGATTTATTTTTATATAGATTTTATTTAATATCTTCTCTCTTTACATTACATTAAATGTATTTAGGGATGAGAAATGAGAATGAGAAACAGTGCTTTTGACTGCAGTTACTAAACAGTTAATTGTTGCCAAAGTAGGAGCGGACAGTACAGCTAATGTGAAAAGAAAGATTGTACTCTTGGCTGCATGAGTGGTTACAGACACACAGACACATGCACATGCACACTTAAGATGATAGGATAACAGTTAAATGTGTTGTCATAGCTCTCAGACACCTGGCCCTGTGTCCATATGGAAGAGGGCTTCAGGCCATATGGCCTATATGTCTGGCCCAAACTGTGTTGGAGGCATGTCTGAGCAGCATATGTGTGTGTGCGTGTGTCTGTGCAACAGCACTGAAATATTTTTTTCTAAATCCATATCCTGGCTTAAGCCGTCTCATACTGTTGATCAGCAATTCTTGTATTTGAGTTCTCTAATTCAGGGCTTCTGACACGCTTATTTGTGTTTACTTTGAGCTTTTCCACTCTCTCTCTCTCTCTCTCTCACACACACACTCACACACACACACACACAAACACACACACAGGGCTAGGTGAAGTAATACTGATAAATTTGTAATGAAACTTGACTTACCTCTCGCGATGATACTGTAAGACATCACAAAAGACATCACAAAAACATTCACATTTGTAAAACTTTGCTTTCACTTGTTAGATTTTTCCCACCTTCATGACCCATGTTCCACATCAAATCCAAACAAAGTTTTTATAATTAGCCATTCCACTGTGACTCATGACCCACTGAGAAAACTTGCATAAACATATTGAACTCATGTTTAATCATCAGTGGGTGTGTATCTTTACTTATTTACCAAACACACTGAGACATGTTTAGTATACAGACATGCATAGACAAATGCAGGGAAGGCAGCAATGAATTGGTGGTCTTGTAAATTCATGAACAATTAAAAGAAATGAGCCAACAGTGCATTGGTGACAGGGAAGGTGGGTGAAGAGAGGAGGAGGATAATGGGGGAGGGAGTGGAGGACAGACACTGGCGCCCCGCCAACATTGACGAAAGCTGCTTAGCCCACCCAGTTGCCATGGATACAGTGAGGAGCAGCACTCAGCATGTGTGTGTGTGCCTGTGTCTGTGTGTGAGAGAGAGAGAGAGAGAGACAGAGAGGGAGGGAGGGAGGCAGAGAGAGAAAACCAGCAGGCATCCGTTAGAGCAAGTCAGAGTGGGAGTGAAAGAGCACCAGACAGCAGGGTGGAGAGAAAGGGTGAGTGTATGTGTGGCCACAGAGAGAGAGGACAGCAAGGCAGCTAGAGAGCTTGAGGGAAACGATAAAGTGGGAGTGATAGAGCGCTAGATAATGGAGGTGCAGTCGGAGTGTGTGGAGCCTCCTGTGGCACCACAGTGTGACCCCCAGCCCACAGGGAAGATCAACAAAGCTGCCTTCAAACTCTTCGGAAAGCGACGTACTGGCTCTGGAATGGCCAGCTTCTTCTCCTTCAGGAACAAAGGGGCCACAAACAGCAGGAACAACGGAAATTCGGACAATGGGAATTCTTTGAATGGAAATGGCTCAACAGCATCAGTGGAGCTCGTTAGGAGCAAAACGCACGATGGACTAACGAGCTCTAACAACGACACTGATGGACAGAGAGGGGAGGGGCTTGCTAGCCTGGAGGCTGGACCGGTGAGGTCTCTCAGCAAATCGCTGAGTTTCTTCTCTCTACTTCGACGGGGGAGTTTCAGGTCGAGTGAGAATGGGGGGACAGGGCTTGTCAGAAGAGGGAGGGGCCTAAAGGGATTTTTTAGCAGCATGCGATGGAGACGTAAGGAAAAAACAAACGAGACAGATGGGGAAGCAGTGGAGGGTAACAAGGAGAAGGATGGGGACAGTACCGACTCTGAAAAGGTAAAGGATATTACTCTCACCCTTGAACCGCCTCCGCATCATCACCAAGAGGATTGTGAGAATGCAGAGGCAGAGCCTAACCTCCAAGCAACAGAGACTCCCATTACTAGTGTTACCATGACACCCCCTCACTGTGTCGCCATGCCAGGGCCATCTGTTGAGCCAGACTCCTCCTTTCCTTACACACCCACTGACTCGCCACTGCGCCCACCCATCCAAAAAGCCAAAGCCTCCATTTCCAGCCTCACGCCTTCATTTGCAACACCCCCTTTGGATCGTTGCAGCACAGGTGACCCACCCTCAGAACCTTCGGTGGACAGACTCTGCTCTCTCCTCTTCACTGATGTCACATCCCTCAAGAGCTTTGATTCACTGACTGGCTGTGGTGACATTATTGCTGATGCAGACGATGAGGGGCCAGCGGGTAATGGGGGCAGTGGCACCAGTAGCAGCAGCAGTGGGGGAGGAGGGGGGAGTGTGGGAGCAGGTGTTGGGAGAGCTGTTTGTATCACCAGTGCTACATCCCGTTGCTCCCCATCCAAATCCCCCTTACCTTCCCAGCTGACCCAGCCCATGTTCTCTGTTTCCTCCAGCTCAGTGCCTGCTTCCCTCCCAGCCCGGGCTCGGGCACCGCCTCCACCACAACAGCACCCAGCTGGTAGTGGCGTGGTGGCTTACATGGGTGGTGGGGAAGAAATGGCGAGTCCAGAAGGAGTGGACGATGCAGACATGCAAGGGCTCTGGCACATGTTGCCCTCCACAGGGGATAACTCTCCTGCTTTGCCCCGATCACACCAACCTCCCTCAACCAACCCCACTTCCACTTATCCCCCCTGCACCAACCCTTCCAGCAGCCACATTCCCTTAGCCCCCAGGAGTTCAGACCGAAAGGTACCCCAAGTGAAGGCATTGGGGCTCAGTAAGATACCAGTAGTTGGTGGAGCAGGAAATCGGGCAGCTAAACCCCCTCTTCCTCACACACATGGCCGTCATCCTGCATCACCTGGTGAAAAAGAGCCACTCAGTGATGAGGGCTACTGGGACACACCCTCAGCAACACCCACAGCAACACCTGATGAGAGTGGGCTGCAGCGTAACCAGAAGTTGGCTCTATCACGTGACAGTTGCTCTGGAGACCACCTGTATGACCTTTACAACGACCCTGAAGAGGAAGGAGATGATGACGAGCAGGAAGTAGATGAAGATCTAAACAGTACGCCTTCTCCATCTACTGAATACAAACTGAGCCCCACATCCCAAACAAGTCCTCCTTCATCCTCCTCCTCTTCCTCCTTCCGATCAATGAAAGGCAGTGCCAGCCTTCCTCGAGAATCCAAGATCCCAGTAAGCACCAGACAAACCCCACCCTCCCACTCTGTAAGCCAGTCAGCCCTATCATCTGTCCTAGAGGCTGAATCCCCTCCACCAAAGACCCAAGCTCCTCCCCTAGCTCGCACCAGAATCCCTGTATCCAAGGTGCCCGTTCGTCGTTCAGGAAACAAAGCTGGCAACAGAGGAACTGCCCACAAGAAGTAGTTTCTGTCAAATTGGTGGTTCTCTCCCACTAATGTATGGACTTCTTTACAGTACTGTTTATGCAGAGCCAAAAGTTTTCGCAGACTGAAAAAATGTTGAGCTGTGGAGTTAACAGCCTATAAATTTCTCTCAGATGTTAAAAGCACTCATTCCTTAAGTGTTTTGGCTTACAACGAATAGAATAATGGTTTTGTTCACTTCAGAAAGTCACAAGGAGACTCCAAAAAGCTGGGTTAACACTTCATGACCCTCAGGAACTTTGGAGACTCTTGACAATCCATGGACTTGCATCTTTCACGTTCGCCTTGTAACTTCCTGGAAAAAGTGACCTGCTGAGATTTTGACGGCCACTTTGATGTAGCTCATGACTGCACGCTGCAAGAAAAAGAAAAAAAGAAAAAGCAGAGCACCTTTTTATCTCTTACATTTTTGTTATGGAATTCCACATAACATAACTCAATTTGCTCATAAGGACCTAATCTAATCAAAGTTTGTTTTTTTGTTTTTTTCCTGATTCATCTTGTGTAATCTGTAACAAAATTACCTCCTAATCCTCTGATCTTAGAGCCAAAGTAAAAAAAAAAAAAGTCATTTCACAGCCTCTAATATTCTGGAACAGACTCAACAACATCCACAGCCTGGGATAACATACTATTTTTTGTTTTTTGTTTTGCTGTTGTATGTGTATTTTGCTCTTCGAAGATGGTCTTCTTCTAACCACACACTGATAATTAAACTTTATGTGCATCTATGAAAATGAATGGTAAGACCTGAACTGGTTTTATTACTTACCTACTTCACAGCTACAAATGTGCAGAAGGCTACACGTTATCTTTTTTTTTTGGTGATGGAGACCTCCACTTTGTCGACTGGTTAATTTTTTATTGTGGAGGTTTGGACTCAGCCTGTTTCATTTGGATCTCACCTATACCCCCCTGCATTACTGGAAGTACATCCATATGTCAATCTCTGGGATTTACAGCCATTGAATTACCAATGGAAACCTGAAAAACTATCGCAATACTCTATCTGGAGGGATCCCTTGCACTGATGCTTCAAAACACACACATCCACATACTCAAACAAAATCGTACATGCACGCACACATTTTCTCTCTCTCTCTGCATGCAGTGCCACACATACAGGGCACAAAGGTCAGGAACATCATCTAACACTGAAGCATCTTAGATACACACACTGTTCAACCTTTGGCACTGTCTTTGTAGCTACACTGGAAGACTTTCTTTGCTAAGGAAAAACAACCAATTTTTTCTAGTTAGTATTTTCTTCTTCACTGGATTTCATACTGTTTTATAGGCTCCCTCTTCCTAAGTCATATTGCACGGATCTTAAACTGTGATTGCACCAGCTTCTTAATACTCTGACTTTCTGTTCGTCAAAAAAAAAAAAAAGTAAAATTTGGGGACAAATGCTGAATCAGTTCAGAGTCCTCCACCCTTCTTTTCCTGGCTGTTGTACTTTTTGTACAACCTCATTCTAGGAATCGCCATAGCTGTGTGTGAATCTGAATGTAGCTTGACATCATTGTAGGTCATCCAGCATATACTTCCGTGTGCTGGTCTGTTTCCCTCTTTGTCTCTTTGTTGTAGGGGCAAGACAAATGGTGGAGTGTACTGTTTTCTAAGTCCCCCATGCTCAAAAAAATTGAGACAAATTACTGCCCAGTGTATGCAGCCTTGCAAAGCACCACTTGTATTAAGAATGAGTGGGGTGTATTGCAGTCCTAAAAGGCCTTTGTCAGTGATTCAGTGAGACAAGTTACAGGGAGCAGAGTGTTCCCTACCCTACTCTTTACTGAAAGAGAGGGGTTTTCATAGGAAAAGACATTCGAGATGATGCAAGTTTTCTCTAATCCTAACCACAAGGGTACCAACACTTGAGGGTCATTCTAGTTCATGATAGCTTTCCATTTCATTTAGGATGTGATGATTGATCCATGAAGCTGCTTCAGGTTCAGATATCTTTTCAGCCACCCAATGGTGTAGTGTAGAACAGTCCATGGAGTAACCTGATCCCAGGTCTGCAGGAAGAGCATTTCTCACCACATAAAAAGGGCATGCTAAAGGTCACCTGCAGAGCAGAAAATGATCATGTCCATTCATGTTTTATTTGCCTAAACTGTGCTCTATGATCTTTTGGTTTAGTTTGCGATTACTCTCATTCTCCTCTGAGTTGAGGAAGGGATAGAAATGAGAGGGAAGGATGGTGGCATAAGGTAACTTTTTGTGTGATTGAGATGGGCAACAGTCTAAACCTTAAAAGTATTTCTGGTAAAAGTATATTTTCTTCTGGACTGCTAACCACAACAGTTGGCCGAGGAGAACAAAAATAAAACATCTAACTCCATGAATGGGAAACCCCACTTTCAACAATCAAATTATATTAATGCTAAGATTAAGAGAGAGTAGAGAACCATGAAATAATCATTACACCTTATATATTCAACTGGTTTATTGTGTCCTCCTCCGCTGGTGCCAAATGTGTTCCACATGCCACAGTGAGTCAGTAGCACATTTTTTCCTCAGTTATTCCAAGTATGACATTGTGAAAATTAAAGTTAAACTTTTGTCATTAGTTGTTGCACTGGCACTACACAGTAATGACATCAACCACTGAGTCAGGCACATTGGCATCTGGTTCATCTTTTTTTGTTTTTTGTTTTTTTTTTGGTGATAAATACTTCTCTCTTTTCTTTCTGATTACAAATCTGGACCTTCCTGTGATCAGTGCATTGAAAGGCACATCATGTTCTTCTTTTTATTACCATATGTTCACAGTGCAAATCTTTCCCCTTTTCATATTTAATGAATAAAACTGTGTTTGCGCTGATAGATGAGCTCTTGACTCTTTGTGACCACATTTTCACAGCATTACATACATTTTCATGTCAGAGGCTTCGTGTACTTGTATGATTAGACAAAAACAAGATAGAGCCCATCTCTCCTCAGCTCCCCTCCATGTCCTGGTGGCTTAAATCCCCAAGGGGTAGGTTGGATGGGAGAGATGGTGAGAAACAGAGATGCTTTTTGTTGATGTGCAGTGTGTGGCATTTTTGTTTTGGTGTCGAACTTGCAAAGAGGTCTGCTTGGCTTATGAGTTATAGGTTATCAATACATTTTATTGATTGCTGAAATGAAAGCCAGATGGATGTGTCATTGTTTGCTGTTTGTCTCTCCTGGGGAAAGACATGTAGAGATGGGGACAAACAGCCAGCATGATAACAAAGAGAGCCAGCTGAGGCAGAGCTGATTCATGTGAATATGGAACCTGGGTGTGTGTCTGTGTGTCCAGAATATTGATGAAAGGGAGTGTTCCCATTGTTACGAGGAAGACACATGTTGCTAGAAAAAGATCATATGTTGTTGTGTTGTGGATGCGCATGCATGTGTAGTGGGAGGAGGATTTGGTGCAGTGCGAATCCCCTTTGTAATGGTGCAGCAACCCCCCCCCCCCCCGCCCCCCCCCCTTCAGCTCCCTCTCTCTGTTTCTGCACGCCGAGGCCTTATGTAAGACCATAACACTCACTTTTGCCAGCCTACCAGATGAAAGCTAGTGATGCTGACAGTGAGAATGGTGTGTGCTGATGTGCGCATGTGTGTGTGTGCTGATCTCATCATTAATCTGCTGCTGCTTCGGAGCTGGATGTAGACACTCATTGTTAGCCATGTTCATCACTGTGTGTGCTTGTTGTTTTGGTGCATAAATCTGGCATGAGTCCATGACAGGGAGTGTTTAGTTTGCTAGAACAACAGAGTTCTTGTACAAACCACCAAAGAAAGAAAGGAAATGAAGACCAAATGCAAAGAAAAAAACTGAACGAACAACATTCATTGAGATGTGACTATGGGTTTGTCTGGGTTCAGTTCTCTTAAATGAAGCTTTTGGCTAGCTATGCAACTTTTGATGAACAGCAATAATGAGGAAATGGTATGCTAAAACGTAGTGTAACAGAGGGACAAGAAGAGTCATTAAGTCAGCACACTGACTTGCTAAGGTCAGTTACAGAGCAATATCTATTTAAAGTTTTATAACATAAACCACCATACACTACAGTAGCACTCACACACATTATACCATTTTTACCCTATTAAAGACAGGCTTTGTAATATTTGAACAAAGAAAGGCACATTAAATTAAAAGTTTAACTCAGGCAAAAAAACATCAATGCACCCGAGAGTTTTGCTCCTACTGCTGTGTAGGACTGTCCTACTGAAATGGATTATATTTACATTACATAACATTTACATGACCTTTTACTTACATTATTATTATCAGAATTATATAGTATTTTGTACATAATCAACTATCAGTGTATTGTAACTAGCTAGTTTCTTTCAGCAGTCTTTATGAAAAGCTAAATCATGATTCTGAGATTGTTTAGTCCATACTCTAAGTTAAATCGGTATCTGCTGCTGTTTAAGTCAGGGAAAATATTGTTGTTTATTATTTTAACAAAGCTATATTGTCTTACTATTCAACTACAGCTCCTTAAAACTTTGACATTTCATTGACTTAAACTATCATATTAATTTCTTGGTTAAAAAGTTGATAAAATGATGAGATATTTATAGTTTACCATAGGCCTAAAGCACAGTAGTACAGCAGTCAAGTTATCTTTTATAGAAGATAATATGGAAATAAACCATAGCAACACACTCTATGTTGAAAAAAAGAGAAAGTCCAATTAAATAAACCCTCCAAAGAAGAACCCCTTAAATTACAGATGCTACTGGTGGAAAACTCAGGTCATAATAATATTTCTAAAAAACAATAATAATCTTAATTGTAGGTAGAGTTTTCTTGCCTTGATAAATGTGCATGTGTGTGTGTATGATGGAGCCTTGAGCACCATTCACAGGCTGTACCCCATATTCTGCATGGCAGCCTCTCTACAGTCGTTCCCATAGTAACTCCACTAGGTCAACCAATGAAAAAAGGGGGCTGGGCAGGAAAGAGGATGGGAGAGTGTTGGGTCTCTATGCTCACAGAGATGTGATTGGAGCTGAACTGGTGCAGTAAAAGATTTATACAAATAAACACACACACACACACACACACACACACACACACACACACACACACACACACACACACACACACACACACACACACACACACAGACACTCGTTATTGATAGTCCAGCTTGCATGCACAGATTCACTGAGCAAATGCACAATTAATGTATTTTATTAGTCGTTCTGTGATTGGCAATTGTTGGGCCATTGTGGTCATACATTTCAGTACAGTTGTTCAGTGCCTACGCACATTTAAAAAAACATTGTAATATTCACAAAATATAGACACAATCATCATGTCAGTATGGACTGCGCAGAACACACACATATGCCAACAGGTATGCATAATTAACCTTATGCAAATACATATATCTGGTCTAGGTTAATTAAGAACCACCCAAGACAAAATAGGGTACAACCCACTTTTTGTTTGAATCCTGAGATTGAGATGCAGATTAATCAATAGTCAACACCAGTTCAGGATCTACAGGCTTCATCCTCATTCATTTTAGTGGAGCCTGAATATCCACAGTGATAAAAGTATACAGTGTATCCTTCACAATCTCCTTAACTGTGTATTTAAGGGTATTAATCCCATCACCATCCATAGTCCACCGGGTTTGGTGCAGTTTGTCAGGATTCACTGGATTAGGTTCATTGTGCAAGTCTCTTTCATGTCTGATCATTCTGTACTTTCCTCTCACCAAGTCCGGCCTAGAAACGGACATTCCACGGTAGGTAATTCGGCTATAGATATCATCATCCTCACCACCCCAGCCCCAGTAAGTGTTTGGGAAGCCATTAATCTTTAAGAATTTGTCCTTGGACAATGAGGCAACTCCACCAAAGTAGGTATTATAGGGTAACCGGAAGCCAAATTTGTCCATAGCCACAGCCAGGTGTCGGGGATTGTCAAAACATCTATAAAGGTTACGGTCATCCATGGGAACCAGGTCTACATCAGAGAAGACAAAGCACTCATAATCATACTCCTTCAGCGCTTCAGCAAAGCCTACATTTAGCAGTTTAGCCCGGTTGAACACTCCCTCTCCATCCTGGTTGATGACATATACACCGTAGTCCAACTGTTGACGCATCAGTATAGGATGGAGGTAGTACAGCCAGTGCTTTAGGTGCTCATGTCGATTTCGGAATGGGATGATGATTGCCACCTAAACAGATTAAATAAGTATTTCATGTAAGCATCTGGGAAAACACATTTCATTATCCATTAAGTCTTTTTCAACTCAAATGTCCTTCTCAGTATGTGTCTTGGTCACAATTGTTTGTAATATATATGTATAGACAAAATATAAAAAATCCTTATAATACTAGTAATTAGTGTGTTAGCAGTGAATTTTAGATTGTGGCATAAGTTATTTTGCTTAAGACATTAGGGCCAAAATTTAAATTTTTTTTTAAGTGAGTTGACAAAGTACTTGTGAAATTTGAAGAATGTGCGATCTGTTTTCATTTAGACTTTTGATTTAGTTAAGTTGTTGTTGATTTAGTTATCAGTTTTTGCACATTAAACAAATCGTACATATATTAAAATATGAAATATGTTCACCTCAGATTGTTTTTGAAATAGATTCCAAGTATTAAAAAAATCATGGTAAATGATTTCATTGTTATTGCTCATTCACCTACCTTATGTTTGGTGATACATTCTGGTGGCTTGTAGCGTCCTCCCAGCTGAACAAGAGAACTGAGTTCCTGTCTCATCTCCTCCATAGTTTGTTTATAATTAAACTCCACCAAGAGAGGACCCACAAGTTTTGGAGGGTAGTCGGGGCAGAGTTTCAAAGTTTCGTTCTGTGTCTTCTCTTCGCTGGCTTTTGGGGGTTTATCCTTAAATTCCCACAGCTCTTGAACACGTTCTTTTACCAACTCGGAAAGTACCTCATTTCTACTTTCCTCTTTGTTGAAAATGTAAGTTAAAGTTCTTTTTTCCCTGTACAACAACAGCACAACAGAACATGCTAGACTGAGGAAAGCAAAAAGTATCAATAACTGTAAGAATTTTTTCAGCATTTTTGCTGCTCGTGAAGATGAGTACTGTAAACTCAACAGCTCTGATGTGGCTCTGCTACCTGCATTTCTCTTTGCAAATCCAAGGTTTCCCAAACACAAGAGCAACCGGACAGGTTTTTCTTTTCTTTGAGCAGCTTCCTTGATCAGATTGGGACTCACACCTGTTGTTGATAATTCATGATATTTTTTTGTGCGTTTCCTCTTCAGTTAGCCAGTGACTAAACTATATCAGTCACTTAGTGACTGATATAGTTAAAAGTGTAGTCTTGTGTGTCAATATATGTTGCCAATACTATTAGTTACTTTAATTTGTATATTATCTCTGAGTACTTTTAGAATGATGATTATTTATAAGCAATAACAGTACTTCCTGTTATATATGTTGTTATATATGTTGTCAAGCTGTGCCCCCTACTGGCATGCGACTGACAGTGCTGAATTTCCTATAGAGTCCTATTAAACGTGGCAGAGTGGCAGGTTATTCACAGCCCTTCAAAAAGTTCAGCAAAAAAGAACAGCAGAAGCCGTCTACGCAGAAAACCGTCCACAGCCACACCCTTAAGAGTAAATCCTGGATACATCCCAGGTACTAAAACTTGTCCATACATGCCTCTTGAAAGGTGTAGACATCCCTGTGATTCCGTCTACTGCATCTGTTCTTATACAGATAGTCTGTCCTTGGAGGGCTAACCATTACAATGTTGCAGCACGCAAGACAGGCTTGTTCCTTGTTGAGTTGATCAAATTTGAAGGTATTTCTGCCCGCAGTAAATGTTGTGTCTGGGGTGTCACTGATAAGTATCCTGCACTGCAGTTGACTTCCGTTTTCTACCGAATCAGTAAGGGGAGTGCTATCAGAAATGAGGAAACTGTGAATGCAGATATATGAGAAGGGTAACTGATACCTTTGTGAGGGGAGTGCCTTATTTTTTTAAGGCACTCCCCTCACTGATCACACCCAACTTTACTTTGTGCAACACAGGAGCCTGCTGACCATCTGGTCCAGTTTAACAATATATTATATAACAGTGGGTTTATAATATAACAGTATCCAATATTGTGATTGTCTAGTTCATCAGAACATCACAGTGGGTGTGCACACAAAACAAAAACCGCAATGATTTGCAAGTGCAGTAACAATGTTTTAAGCTTACATGGGTTAATACATGATGTAGTCATTATCCAGAAAAGTATAATATCCTATATCTGTTTTCACATGTAGATTTGGTTTGACACATTCCTGCACCTGCGATTAAGATGAAGGGTGTGGTGTGACATTGAGAGAGTATTTCAGTATGAATAATAGGTCCATCTGTCACAGCCTGCTCGGCCTTCACCTTCAGTAATTTTCCACCTACCCTGCCTCCGTCTCACTCCCACTGGCCGGCCACGCTTACCTCATCAGCTCCACCTTCAGTTCCCAGCTGCATCTCATCACTCATTAAGCCAGTATATAGGCATCCCTGGTTCATTCACTCATTGCCAGATTGTTCTGGTGACTTGGGTTCTACCAACACCTGTTATACCATCTTCCCTGCAGACAACTGGGACAGATGAGCTTGCTTTTGCTCACAGTATGAACTGGAAAAATATGATGTTTAGTTATTATATCATATTCATATCATAAAAATGCATTTTTAATCTTGTATATCCTTACTGTCTATAAAACCAAGAAATTAATATGCCAGTACCAAGATTTTCAAATATACTTCAAATTCATCATACTGTAATAAAAAATATTGATAGAAAATACAAATAAATGATACGGAATCATCTCAGTTTTATAATTACTCAACTGAGCTATATGAAAGATACAGTGTTTTGATTTTATAAAATGAACCTAACATTATCAGTGCACAAAAGTCCCACTTAAAACAAAACAGACAATGTTCAAGTCATGTTACAAAATTAGATGATGTTCATTCAAGCATAAAAATATCTAATCATGATGATAAAAAAATAATGATAATCAAACATAATAAATAAATTAAGTGCATTAAATCGCATGAGTGTATGCAATTACAACGTGAAAACAAATTAAGTCAGATAAAACAATACACTCTATATGTTGATGAGTGAGTCTTCCATCAAAATTCAGAGAGATGTTGAGGACCCTTCCTAGATTTTGATTCACAGAGTAAGTTTTTAGAAAAGCATTTAAATCATTGTTCAAAGAATTATGCTTTGACATAAAATCAAATGGCATCATTTTGGACCATGTATTTTAAGTATGATAATTATAGTCTAATTTTGCTAATGCTATCTCAATCTTGATAAAGTGTATAAAGAATGAATATAATTTTTATCAAAGAACAATCAGCAGGACCAGCAGAATGCAAAAAGGCCTTTCTTTGATAATGGCATCTAAGGAAAAAGTGTAAATAGGGATCAGAAAAATTCTGGTAACATATTTTTAATGTTTTGCTCCTATGCTTTGAAGTTAAGATTAAGTAAGTACATTTTCAAGCGATCAAAGATGTTTTATACAGCACTGACAATATTTATTCTCCAAGACATTCTCACTATAGTTGCTATCAACCAGTAACTACTGTAATAACTAAATTAGTCCGAATTGATTTTAAAGTGCTGTTCTGCACTCTGCCACAGTGAGAGTAGGGCAGTAGACAGTACAGTGTGTGCTTTGTTGAAATTGTTAGTCCGGACAGGAGCAAGCTGTTGCTTGAAACTGTCTAATATCCATGCTGTTTTCAAAGTGCATTATTGTGTCAAAACAACCATAGCTTATCTGGATACTACCAGAGGATCCACGCAGGAGCATACAGTACTGTACCCGTGGCCTCATTTCAAAATAAATGTGCGGCAGGTTGTCTTTAAACCTCACAAACAGTGACCTCTAGTGGTACAAGACGTGCCAACTGGATTTACATTCACAGTGGCTTCTAAGAACATACAGTATTAATCGGGGTTATGAGGCCATTAAATTTGTCACATGCAACACACAATGTGGCATAACACTAATTCACATAACTGCTAATAATATAACAGAGAAAAGGCCTTCAAGTGTTAGAAATCTAGTGAGTCATGGAGGTCATGCTGCTCCACACATTCCATGAAACAAGGTGGTTTGAAGTGTGGATCAGAAATCTTATGGGATCATCTTATCATTCAATGCAAGCATTGTCCAAGATGGCATGAAAAACACTAGTTGTTTAAACTAGTTTTGTGTTCAATTAATTGAAGGTCCCTTGTGTGGTGGAGTGACAGCTGAAGGTATGGTAGTCTGCTGTCATCTGTGCAAACGAATTACCACTATCCGTATTGACTGTGATTTGTGAGACTGTATATTTTTCTGCTTTAGTAAGTGCAATGAAATTAAAACAAATAGAGTTATAATTCATTGTAGTTTGTGTGCCTTCAATGAGACCATACACCCCCACCACCACCACCATAAAGCCAAAACTGTTTTGCCCTCACGCATTATTCCTTACTGTTCTCATCAGTTTACATTGTGTCCTTTCCAAATGAGAGTTTGCTAAGGCTAAGTGAGGCCTACAGTGTATTCCCATGCAACATATAGAATTCTATATTTACAAAGGCATACTATAAAGCAGTAATTAGTGCTACTGACAATGTTGTGTTTTTTTGTTTTTTTTTTGAAGAAAATGTTCCCACATTCCCTCACATTTTCCCTGGACTTTGAAGGAAATTATTAGGGGCAATAGTTCCCTACTTGCTTGTTTAAACCATTTACCATAGTTCATCATGTTCACTAGGGGGATTGTTTGTGTGTTCATTACTGCTTATGCAATATACATGGTTAATATGTTGACGTTAGCACTCAACTGAACTTGAGTTCTTGGAGATGAAATAGCCTGAACTGCCAAGCAAAATGTCACATGTTTGCTTAAAAATCATAATTCTGTGTTCTGACAGCAACCATAAAAGCGGACCTTTTTAACCCCTCAAAAACTTAAATAAAACTAAAATAATATATGGGTATTTTTCCAGCTTCCAGAAGCTTGTGGTAGATGTTTGAGAGACAGGCTAGCGAGGAGAAACTATTTTAAAATTTTAAGATTAAATATGAAGTGTAAAAACAGTTAATTACTAAGTCTGTTTCAATTCTGTGAAAACCTTGGTGCAAGCAGAGATGTATTTAGAATTAAAATGATTAAACCACTACTCACCTGGGGCACACCTAAGGTCATTTCTCGGGAGGTCACCTAACACAACAGGCCTAAGTGAAACTGCTGCCAGACTTTCAGTTGACAACATATGTGTACCCATATAATAAGTGCAGTCTTATGTAATACCACTAGAGGGTATTCATGTATCACCAATAAACAATGGGTATGAGTCAAGTACTGAAAGGGTAGTTTCCTTGAGATTACAGATACTTGCCATGCCTATGTGTAGGTTCCTGTACACTGCCCAATGCACACACACACACACACACAAACACACACACACACACACACACACACACACATACACACACACACACACACACACACACACACACACACACATTACATGCACACTTTTTTATGCATGCATGTTACTGCACATGTGTGTCTCTTTTTGAGAGAATTTTGCTTTCTGTTCTTAACCACACACTTTTGGATAAATGCGCTGCTGGTTGCAGAGAAACCTGATCCCTATGCCTCTATAGATGGAATCCAGCTTCGGTTTGAACATTTTTTTTTTTTTTTTACACCTCTTCCCACTTTCTCTCTTGCTTATTTTTGTTGCTTCAACTGACTTGAGTTTGAGAACAAGAGCGATGCTTAGTGAGACACATTTGTATCCAGAGATGGAAGCTTGTTGGATGGACATCCAACACAAACTGAGAAAGCCAGAAGACTGGTATATACCCTGCTGATTTGGCCACACAAGTCTTTTCTGGCACTGTGGCATCCCTTTCGAGGTAGGCGGGTCAGCTTTTTTTGGACACATATTTCACTTTGCATGCATGCTTGTGGTGTCAGAGTGACATTTTTGCCTGTATAATTTCTTAATTAAGTAGATGAATATAATTATAAAACAAATGCTTCGCTTTGCTCTTTGCTGAACAGTTTAAACAAGTAAAAAAAGAAGTTTTTCTTTAGGTCTGTGGTGGTGATAAAGAGTCCTTTTCATAGTTTTAATCAGACTTTGTCAAACAGTAGTTTATGAGTATCACATGAGAGGGATTTAATGATTCAGTACAGGGTAATGTGATAATTATCCTAATAGCACATTACACCACATATACTATATGCAGATACTGCTCATTTCTGCAAATACCAGGACTTTCTCACACTCATATGTTAATTTTCATATGAGCCACACTTAATGTACTATTTGATACTAAAACAGACCACGGTGATACTGCAGTGGTGCCAAGAACAGAATAATAATACCACATCTATGGTGGAGAAGACAAAAGGTAATTTTTAACAATATACTGTATACGTATATTTAACATGGTTTTGTAGATTTTTTTAACTTAAAAGGTCAAAAATGTCAACACATTTTGAGCCTTGTGAAGAAAATATCCGAAGCTTGCAAGAAGCAGGATAACATATATATTCTCCCACCATTGAAAATGTGAATACATTGCATACATACAGTCCTTTCTCTACCATCATATCGACAGATGTGAACACACACACACAGACACACCAACATGCACATTTATACTCAACCACAGCTCTTAAAACAGCCCTAGTTACAGCCTAGAGAGCTCAGCAGTTTAGTGAAACATGATGCCCAGACCATAAAAGTGAGTGAGTGTGTGTGTGTGTGTGTGTGTGTGTGTGTGTGTGTGTGTGTGTGTGTGTGTGTGTATATGTGTGTGTGTGCATGTGTGTGTGTGCTTGGCTTTGAGTGGTCTCAGCTGTGTGGGACACGTTGCAATGACAGCCAATCAGAGCTAATTCAGAATCAGAGTGGTTTTGATGGCTCCATGGTCTATCCCGGGGAACAAAGCAGTTTGTGCATGTGTATGTA